CGACTCTATTGCTAACAGAAAAGTATGATGTACAGGGACAAGCTACTACTAATTTGAAGTGGAGAACATATATTTTAAATTAAGTAATTGAAAAATATGATTAAAAATTGCAGCCTGGCATTGTGACAATGTTTTAACTTTATATTCTTCTACTTACATTTGAAAATAATAAATTAACAAAACAATTTAATTAATAAGAACTTGTCATCTAAATAATGATGTGCAACTGGCTAATAATAAAGTGCACCACAATTTTTTCCTGATTGTTTAAATATGCCATAAGGCTGAAAGGTCAGGAACCACTGATCTGGACTGTAGACCTGCTGCAAGGAATTTGGATTTCATTTTGGGTTTATTGTTTCATAAAGAACATTCTAAACATAATCAACAAAACCTTTAATGTCCAGTAAAGCTTGATGTTCTCGGATACAAGAACATCAAACAGATATTAAAAATAACAGGCACACCACCACCTTATCAACCTACGTTACTGATCCTGAAATACAGGCGGACTTCCAGAATACCAGACTAATCAGACAAGCGTTCCGAACTGATCACATCCGTCACATGGAGGCCTAGGAGATTCATAAAGCTAACTGTGGAGGCACCTGCATCAACTTCAAAGATGGTGAAACAATCGCGCAGGCGTGGAGGTATTTGTTCGAGGAATTCGAACAGGGACAGTCGGAGGGGTGAAACCCGACATGCACAATTATTTAAATCGTTACAACAGTCAGGAGGAAACACAGTCAGTCACCACCTGAAGCAGACCTTGGTGGAGGTCGAAAGCATTTGTTGAGTTAGTTATGGACATAACACTTGTACAAAAAGGTTTCGTGGATTGTTATTACTCAACGAAGTGTTAAGTTGTTGGAAGTCATTTTGTCTCAAGAGTCAATCTTATAATATAATTGAGATTGGTTGATAATAATAATAATAAGTGCAGAGCCCAAATGATTAGGAGTTGAAATTTGGTACACAGGTAGAGTACATCATGAGGATTTACACTAAGAAGAGATTTTTCAAAATTTTCCCCATGAAGGAGGGAGTTAAGGATTACCCCGAAGAACTCTGCTTCTACTGTACTATTTTAGATGTGGTTTTTTTTGCATTTTGTGGAAAATCAAATATATTTTTAGATCCATATGAAAATTCTCTAATTAGCTTGGAAGAAGGGGGATTTAATATTTGCATTCAATGAAAACTGGTAAGATTGGCTATGTAAGATAACCTTTGTAGTTAGATAAACCAAATTCTATAATATAATACAATAGAAGGGTTAGAAGTATAAAATTTTCTAATCTTAATGTATGTTCTTACTTTTGTCCAGTCAATGCTGGGCTTATCTGCTAGTTGGAATATAAGTTGAATATGAAACAATCTTGACAATATGAAACAATCTTGGTTTCATATTGTTCAACATATTTTCTTATCCACGTATCCAAAAAGTACTCCATCATCCAGTTCTTGCTCTTCTTAATTTTAAACTTAAGGAGCTATTTGAAAACTATACAGAAGATCCTATGATTATTGGTTGTTTCCAAATGACCGTATGTCATTGACATAACTCTTGTAAATTTTATTTTACTTGTGTATTCTGAAACTGTGTCTTGTTTTATCTGTTTTTATCGTCATGACTAGGTGCATAGATAGATTCTGGGCATTTCTACATCATCATTATTCAGAATATCCTATAGGCCGATGTGTGTTTTGGGCATAAGCCCCTCATCTGTCAGCTACATAATAAAACATATCATGAATTTGTCATATTACAAAATGTTTATATTATACAGGTAATAGGTTACAACATACCATGACTTCCAGGATTTCTTGTAGGTGGTGTTGACATGTATACGTTCCGTTTAAAATTACTTATTTGCAGTTAAAATTGTTTTACTGTTAAAATACCGTTATAGTTTAAAATATATTTACAATTAAAAGTACTATTACAGTTAAAGTTTCATGACTTAACATCAAACATCTTCTAGCACATACTCTTGATGTCTGTGCAAATGAGGTTCTGTTTAATCTCGTTGGCACTATTAAACTATCCATGGACCTAGTTGTGACGATAAAAACAATTTTATTTTACTCTCAAATTGTTCCAGTATCTTTTCCTCCACTCTTCTCACTATCAGATCTGCCAAGGTTCCTGAAATGGATGATCCAATTGAGACCTCTTGTTTGCTTATAAAAACTTTTATGGAATTTAAAATATGATTAAAACATTGTGTGTAAAATAGCTGATAATGTTAAGTTATAACTCCACATTTAAACATTTAAAGCTATGAGATATTTTTTAACAGAGTATATGAACAACCATTACGTAGCTTTCAATCCTTTCAAGTTATCTTGTTCATCTTCAGGAAAATGAAAAAATGAACTACGGGGAAACTAAATAGAACATCCAGAAAATTTCTGAACACAAAATAAATTAAAATAAAACAAATAAAAAATTTATTTTATTTCATATTCAAAAATATTTTGGACATTCTATCTGGATTCTGATAGCAGTGAGTTCTTGTTCATGTTTTGCTTTCTTGAAGATGAATAAGATAACTTTAAAATATTTGAAAGCTATGTAATAGTTATTCATATACTCCATTAAAGCATATTTTATAGAACCTGATTATATCTTAAACTTTATATTCCTAAATTTTAGACTTTGGAGCAAGATGTTTCTTGCATAGAGAAATGTTGGCTCTTGTCTCATGTTTGTTTCCATCAATTTGAAGTCCAATGTAGTGATACAGTCTTCCTTTCCTAGGTCACTTTCATCAATTTTTTGTTTAGGACACAACTGTTTTTAATTGTCCATGGGTATCATATACAATATTTCCTCAATTACTCTTTCCAACATTTATTCCTCTTTATATATAGGAGAACTACACTTTTCTATTATTGCGCTAAAGCCCCATTGTTCCTTATGGGTTTTAACATATACAAATAGTTTTGGAGGTCTAGCTAGTGGAGTCTAGACAAAGTATTGTGTCTCAATAATTTCTTCATTCTTACTTCTACATTCTTAATGGGGTTTCTATCTCTTCAAAGCCTGTTTCTTTTATGTAATTTTTCAAATTCTTAACATATTCTTCTTTCCATAGTATAACATAACCATCTCTCCTGACTTAACTACTTTGGTTAGAATGAGATGCTCAGTTTCCAACCATTGCCTTATCAAACTCAATCTTTGTTTCACATTCTTCTCTTTTTTCTAATCTGTTGTTTTGTTTGTTTCTGTTCACTATCATCTATTATATCATTTCTTTTTTCATCTAATTTAAACTCTGAAGAAACATCTCAATTTCTTCTTATCAGAGTTCTACACCAGATCATTCCTATAAACTTTTAAAGTGTTGGACATTAGAAGATGAATTGTTTTCTCAGGTTGGTCTCCAAAAAGTAGTTTGTTAATTTAACTTATCAAGTTTCATACAGTGATGGATTAAGGATTGAATTTATCAATATGTTTTTTTCCAGATTCATAAATTTTGGTCATTTAGTTTTCTTCTTGTTGAATTTACTATAAATGGAATTTATAAACCTCTTTTCTTAGATGTTATTTGAAAGTTTTTTTATTAATTTAAATATCAGAATTACTGAGGTACTATTAATTTAACAGAACATCATTTACTAAGAATATCAAAACTTAAATTTAACTCTGTTCTTTTATTCATGTAAAATGTTTGTTGCAGACATCTGAAAATTATGATGTCAGTAAAGCTTGTAACTGATGTTATAATTGAAGTAACTGTGCAGTTCATTAAGTTTTATGCATGAAATCATTATTGATAAATTTGACAACTGTTCTTGAGACATAGTTGATCTTAAGTAATATTTCATCTTTTTCAATTTTGAAAAGCTTCTTTCTGCAGAAAAAATTGACATGGGTAATGTTAAAAACTGTATATTCTTAAAGCAATTGATCCATTTAGAAATGATTCTCACATAAATTATTTTTACAAATAAATTCTAATACATTGATGAGTATCATAGTATTTAAATACAAGTAGTGCAAATGTTTTAACTTTTTAAAATAGATATTTCATAGTTTATGACAGTTAGGTTTAAAAAATAAAACTTGTAATTTGTGTTCATTTGTATGATGCACCCTTTTATAAGGCTCTTGTATAGGGCACAAATCACACATTGACTTAAGATTTTTGAGCTAAGCCATTACAATTATTTGAAATAGTTCAATGCATTTCAAGTACATTGGAAAATATGTACTGGATAGCTATTATTAGTGGCATAACTAAGATTTTGTTCTGGGATGATTTGAGAGGATGATGTAAAAAAGTAAAATTAGAATGAGGAATAATTAAGCCTACCATAAAGTACTGTTTATTTATAAACAGCTTTTTTATTTATGAAATTATTTATTTTTTTTATAAATGTTTGTAGTTTAAAAGAGAGTCAACACCTATATCACCTTCTATAAGTATGTCACAAGAAATAATTAAACTTACAGCATTGGAGTGGATTGCAGTATAGTTTAGAGAATATGATTGTTGAAATCATTCTTTAAGTACTTCTGTTGCATATACCTTAGTTTTACATTGATAGCTTGGAATAGATGGTTTACAACAGTAACAAAATGGAATATTAAGTTGTTAGTAATTGTTTCAAATCAATGTTTATTAATAATTTGTCTTATACAGTAGTTTTTTAGATTTGAAGAGAAAAATTTTATCTTCAAATCTAATTAAAAATAATGTTCTTTTCTGTTAACATTCAAATGAAATTTCAAACAGAAGCATGCTCCAGTTTGAAAGTCAGTTCAGGAGCAAGTTCCAGTTCAAAGTGTTTCAGAGAAATCTTCTAAATTTCATAACAATCTATCTGTAAAGAATTTGCAGAATAGTATTGTACAGAGAAATTACACTACTTATTTAATATTTTATCCTTGCATCATTCTACAGTTATTTGATTTTGCTATATATTAAACCTGTAATTCTGTTTTTTAAAAGATATTTACTTACCATAATTTATCTTTATAGTCTGCATTGATTAGAGGCATGACAATTACAGAAGTAAAGAGAAAGATGAAAGTTGGCAGTGAACAATATTTGACAGGAAATTACAGTGCAGCCTTACAAGAATATACTTCTGTATATAATGCAGTGGATAAATTTGGCAATTGGGTAAATAGTATTTTATTTTATTATTTTTAGTTAAAAAATAAATAATAAACTCTATAAGTATTTTATATTCCAGCTATGGAAATATTTTAAAAATGAAATTATATTGATCTTCTCAGCTGGAAATTTGAGTAACTAATTAATGATGATTTGTTTTTGCTAAATTAAGATAGGTAGGTCAGATAATTTATTATCTGAGTCAAATGAGGCAATTTTCAGTGTGTGTATGTGTGTATCAATAGAATACATGCTTCAGCTTTTCTGTGATCATGTAAAAAAAAACTTCAAATTTATATTTGAAAAGTTTTGGGTTTAGCTACTGTTAGGCACTCTCAAACTCTCATTTCTTATCACCAGAACAATCTAAAAAGTTTAAAAATTTATAAATATTAATTAAATTAATAAACCAGCTAATTTTTCAATATAAAATTTTTTATTTTTAAAACAATACAAGTTATTAAAGATTTTAAAGTATTGTTTGGAAAAATGGAAGGAAAAGTCTGTAATTTTATTTGTTTTTGAAAGTAGAAAGTGATTTAAAAATTTCTTTTATTAATGTAGTTAATATTTGTTTTATTTAAATTTTTTGGATTGATGATAGTTTGTGAAGTATTTTGTTGTGTGCATAATACAAGCGTAATTTGTAAATATACGGATTAGAATTACAGTCAAGCCCACATATAACAAGATTAGTTGTTGTGAATTATCAATTAATACAAACTTTATCCCCTAATCTGTAATATTAAACCTATGCTAAAATGTTCCAACATTATGAAGTATTATGAAACAATATATTGGATATAAGGAAGATTTGTTCTGATTGTTGTTCTGCTTAGCTGAAAATAATTATACAACAAGCTAACCTTATTGCTTAAACCTGAATGTCACAAATTCTTCCAAGAAAGGAATCGGCCCAGAGCGGGACTCAAACCCACAACTTCTGCTTACTGTGCAGATGCGTTCAAGCCCCGCTCTGGGTCAATTTTTTCTCTCAGTGGTTCTAAATTATTTAAATTAATTAATTTATTTATAATTATTAATGTTAATACGAGATGGTGCCTAACGCTTACCTCTAGAGCCAAATTGGTTACATAATTTATTTAGTAAGTAGCCTTAAACTAGCCTGATAGAATTTTGGCATTTGGTTGGTGTTTAGCTATATTATATATCGGGTTTAGCGATGTTTGTATGTATCATCAGTTCAGCTGAGTCCAAAAATAAATGTAATAAATAGGGCATCCAGAAAATAAGGAATGTTTGACTATAAAAAAGGAAAAAACAGTAATGATAGGAACAGTTTTATTAAGTAATCAGTAGGAGACCAGTTACTTTTCTACATAGCAGTGGTATGCCATCCATGGAAACTGTGAAAGTGCCGTTTCCCTCTTATTTTCTAAAATATAAATACATATGTGATTATTTTCATATTTCATATTTTAATGTACTTTAAATTAATTAAAATTAATATTCTATTATAACCACATTATGTATCTTATTACAAATTTCTATACTACATGTGAAAAAAAATGATAAGATTGATATTGTATATTTGAATATAAATTTGTATATGCATATTCCCAATGGAAGTGCTGTATTATCGAATACAGGACAGCTTCCACGGCAAAAATATTTGAATGGTGTAAAGCAGCCAGACTACCAGCCTTCACACATTTGCTTTACAGAGCATCGACCTCATGTGATTTAACTCCTGGATGCTACATACTGAAATACCTTATTACACTTCCAATGATTCTATACTGGGCTAGCACAGCTTCCGTATCATCAAATGTCACTGCACGCCACTGCTACATAGTCATCATTTCAATTAAATCACTTGTCATAGTGCGACACTAGTTTTTGGATTCCTTTGCCATAGACTTCCATGCCCAGTTCTTTTAGCTAGTTAGTGACAGTTTCTTTCACTTCTCATCCATTCCAAAATATTCTAAATCAACCAAAAACTCTTTTGGCTTGGAAAAGACATGAAAGTCACTGGGGGCCAAGTTAGGATTGTATGGTGGATGGATGAAAACATCCTAAATTTCTGAAGCACAGCTTGAGTGGTTGTATGTTAGCTTTCTTGATTAAACATTAAACACCAATTTCTCACACTTGCTTTGTTCATAATGTGATTACCAGACACTTTTACGATTTGTGTATAAATTTCTATAAGACAAACTTTTTTCATTTTATAAAACAAATACTGTAACATTTTGCATTCGGTGGAATTTTTTAATTTTGTACACATTTTAACCCTTGACAAACAGTAACAATAAACTTGCTGTTATCTAAACTCTATGCGCACTAAACTAACACATCAGAAAACAAATTGACCTTGAATTGATGATGGTAATTTACCTGCACAGAGTGCAATGTGCAAACATTCTTTATTTTATTGACTCCCCTCATAGATTCTGCCATATATGAAATTTATGTTTGTGATAAAATTGTATTTATTTATAGTTGAAATTATAAATAAGAAAACACTAATATAAATTATATATTTTCCTTTTAAACTTTTAAAATATTCTTTTCATTTGAACATTTTTTATTTTATAGTATCTTAATATCACTGAGAGAGAATTAATTGCTTTGAAATATGCCTTAGCTACAGTAAATTTTCATTGTGATTCAAAAGAGGTAGGTAACTTAATATATATATATATATATATATACTGTATTTTTGTGGAATGACTTGCATGCCAGAATCCCTGGGGTTACTGGTATGTCGGTTAAACTGTGACTAAAATATAAAATTAATCAGATCTAACAAAACTAGTTAATTAAATGTTAAAGAAAACATTCTTCTGAGTACAGGTTGACATTAAAAAATCTGGCAATCTCCGGACCTGAGGAGTGCCGGATTTTTTATGGTTATATATGTTATATATATTTAACAGGAAATGACTATCTATACAGATAGTCATTTCCTGTTAAATATATATAACATTTTCTTTAATTTTAATTTTAAAATTAATTTTCTTTCTTTAAAAGATTCCATTTAATTTTCTTTCTTTAAAAGATTATACAATCTTTTAAAGAAAGAAAATTAAACACTAAATGAAAAGCAGATGAAATTTTAATGTTTATCAACTAAATAAAGTTGTTCTACAGAATTTTAGTTAGGTGCCTCCAGAAAACAGTGTCATGCCAATGCAATAAATTTAAAAATGCACTCTGAAATCCATTCCAGAAATCTGTAGGAATGGGATTATCAATAGCCAGATTTTTGAATGTCAATCTGTAGTAGTAGTAGTTGTAGTAGTTGTAGTAGTTGTAGTAGTAGTAGTTGTTGTTTGTTGTTGTTGTTGTTGTTTGTTGTTGTAGTAGTAGTTGTTGTTGTTTCACACAAAGCTAATGTTGTTTAAGCTGAGATAATTTACAGTGAGTTTCTTAAATTTAATATGTTTATTTTTGTGTTTTTGAATCAAATAACAATAAAATACACATAAAAAAAAGCACTTTCAGAATTCCACGAATATTTTCCATAACTATTTACATCTTTAGAAAAAAGACAATATGATAAAATTAAACCTATAATTGTAGTTTTTGATGTAATGCTAACTGTTTCACAGTTTTGGAATCAAAACTGTTTGTTTTTACACAACATAACTTGTTCATTTTTTTAAGGTGCCCTCTAGAGAGGAATGTATAACTTCACTTAAACTGGCATGCCAGCATTTCCCCGGAATAAACCAGCATGCTGGATTTTTTCATACGAAAATACCTGATTTTATGAACTCCCCAGATAGACTGGCATGCCAGTCATTTCACGAAAATATAGTATAATTATTCTTTAATTACTCTAATTAATTATATACTTATATATAATATATATCTTATTTTAATTAATGGCTGATATGATTTAGTAATCAGAATTCAGTTTTTAGAGCTGATTGCCCAAACATTAGCTAATAAATTATTAGTTTTTTTCTTATATTAATATTGACTAGTTATGCCTGTGTGAATAATTTGTAATAATTTGTATATACAACAAAAAATTGCATGCAAAAATTTAGTTATTATTTAGGAAGTTATTGCAATCAGAAACAGAATTATGTGGGATAGAATTTTTTTAACCAGGTTAGTCACAAATATAAACAGTTTTTATGATTCTCTTTAGTTTCTATTTGAGTTCACTTATTTAGATTGGATTGATGGACAAAGATAATGATTGCATTATCTTAGTCCATCAATCCAATCTAATTGCAATATGTACAGTCTGTCAAGACACTCTTGTCACATTGCACATATGGGAGTGTTTCCTAGGAGGACTTTCTGTGAGGGACTAGTTTCTCTCTAGATGTTAGGTACATGAACAAAAACTAGAAAATTTCACAGTCAGCCTGTTGATCACTTGTGATTCCATGACCATTTCCCAGTGTTCAGTGGTGTTATCTACTTGCTTTATTTTCCTTCAACATCAATAGTTAATGATTCTTTTCATACATTGTTGTCATAACACATATAACACTATGAGATCAGAAACACATAAAGTAATATTTTATTTATAAATCAAATTGCAGAAAGTAATAAATAATCTAATTTTGATTTATTAGAATTGAAAAATAGTGGCATTCTTTGTAATAATGAACAGAAATATTTTGAAGTGCTATAATAAAATTATTTAAAACTTGCTTACAAATTAAAAATCTTTTAAATTTAATAAAAATTTGTACAATAAATTTTTCATTGGAGTTGAACATATTTATTATAAACATATTTATTATAAACATGAACTTTGAGATTCCTGTTGACAAGATAGTGTTCATCTTTAACAGAAAATACTTTACAATAAAAAAATCAGGACATAATTGAAATGATTTCTGGAAGCATTTATCTTAGATGAGATACAGGTTTATAGAATCATGAATGCCCTGTAATGCTTGAAATAACATTCATACTTAAATTTGTGAAAGTGATTCTTTTTATATAAGTGAAATCAAATTTTATTAATAATTAAATTTATGCTTTTTATATCTATAAAAAGAATCACATTTACGAATGTAGACATTCAATAGCTATGCTTCCACTTATGCTTTTTTCTTCAGTTAATCTTAGTGAACATGAGATAATACATTTTGAACATTTGACTTCATGATTATTTGTAACATTTATTATTTAATATTTTTAATATTCCTGTTTTATTGGGCAATGATAAATTAATTTTATTGTTTGTAAATGCCTAAAAACTGTTTATTAATCTCATATTCATAAATATAATATAACTAAAACTTGAATCTATTACAAAACGTGTCTAAACTACTAGATTATTTTCTGACAGCATTGAAGCAAATTCTAAATTATCTAAATTTGGTATAAAGATAGGCAGTTGTGCCAACAATTTATATAAAGATTAATTTGAGATTAATTAATAAGTTAATTAAATAATTTAGAAGATTTTGGAAGAAAATATCAATTTGGAACAGGATCTGAACTTCTAACTCTTACTTTCTGAGCAGACTTTTTGTAATATTTACCCAGATGTTCATTTCTGAATGTATACTAATTAGATTTCATACTAACTTAATCATACTAATTAACTATTAGCAGTATGGTTATATGTTATGAGCTATATTAATACTTATTTTAAGAAATAGTTTTAATACAGTATAGTCTGAAATAATCTGGTAATTTAGACATAATTTCAAATCTAAATTCCATATCTTTTTTCCTGATAATTGTTATAAAATTAAACTGATATATGACAATAATTAACTTATCAAATTTATTAGCTAAAATAATTTACTATTATTAAACATATGTAGTATAATAAAATTATATATTATACAGAATATGGATCATGCTAATGCTTTGTTTACAAAATTGAAACAATATGATTTTCCTGCTGCATATTATGGAAAAGCAAAACTTTTATGTAAATATGAAAGGTAAATAAGATTGAATATTCAAAATGTTTTTACTTTTAATTTTGAATTGAAATATAAATATTAATTTTAAAATTAAGATTTTTGCATTTCACTTTAGCATTATAATTTAAAATTTTCAAATATTTGTTTTTTCTTACAGTTATATAATTAACATATAATTTTTTAAATCAAATTCTACAAAACTAGAAAAATATCCAAGAAAAGAAATTCTATTTTCTTACTACTGTTTTCAAGTTTCAAACTAATCCTTATGTAAGAACATTCTAAATTGTTATCATAGTTCTGTGGAGAGACTGCATGGACTTCAGTGCTATGAAACCTCAGAGTTCCCTCTACACTTTCCCTAGTCATATTTCCTTATCTGCCCCATTCCAACAACATAAACATGAATCTTTTTATTTGGGTAATTTTTCCATATTTCCTCCTTCACATACTAGAGTGATACAATTAAATCAAAGTTTAAGAAGTAAAAAATCTCCTGACTTTGTTAATATGTTTAACACTTGATTTTTCTCAAATTTTTCTGTGGCTTTAAGTTTCCCATTATCAAACCATTTCTAAAAAGTCTGTTTACAGAATTATTACTAAAGTGTGCACAGTTTTTGGCCCTTTTGAATGCACTGTCAAGGTGCCCCCTTGTGCCAAAATTGGAATGCTGGTAACTTACTGACTGTGTTAGTAAAAGGATGTTGACAAGCTTGTGATGGTTGGTATTGTGTTTGACATGGAGCTGTAGTGTTTGTTTATCTTAATCATCTGTACTTATACAGGATATAAGAGAAAATGACTTTATCAAAGGATGGAGGCTAGATGGGAAAATAGGTCTGAGAAAATTACTGACAATTTTAACTTAAGACTGTAGTATATTGAAAACCCTGTACACTGGGTCAGAGACATGTAAAGAGATTTGAGTTTGTGCAACTTGATTTAGTGAGGTTTTACTGTATGTCCTTGCAAAAAAACAATGATAGGTTTATATGAAAATAATTAATTGGAGTTTCAAATTTTTATAAAAAGTTTTTGGTAGTAAAATATTTATAGCATCTTTGAAGAATACCAAAGAATGCTCTAGCTTTTGAGCAAGATTCAGCAATTTCATTCAGGATGTAATTGAAACATTTGTTTTGAATTTAGGTCTTTAGTTTTTAATATTTTTGGGCTGCTGTTTGAAAAAATTGTAGATCTATAAATTCCCACTGACATCCATCCGTTATGTCATTCCTTTTTCTTGTGATAGATAATAGATAGATTAAATAGATGAATGCTGAGACCAGATATAGAAAGATTAGGGGCAGGAGGCCCCAATTCACTATATAGAAACTTCTGGTGCAAACCAGAAGTCATGTTATTTCAGTTCAAAAATTTTCCCTGGAAATGGGTTAGATAGATGACCAGCACAACTCTATTGCTGACAGAAAAGTATGGTGTACAGGGGCAAGCCACTAATAATTGAAATGGAGAGCATATATTTTAAATTAAATAATTAAAAATATGATTAAAAATTGCATCCCGTCGTCGTAATGATGTCACAATAAATGTCTGTTACTAGTACATTACATCCTGGATTTTAAAATTTTTATTGAAATATTTACAAATTCATTTTAATATTTTCATTCTTTCCTTTTTTATTGTATTTCAGAGGAGTGATAAAGATGAGAGATGAAAATATGTAAACAGAGTTTATTGTGTACTTGGAGTAAATTTGGAAAAATGATAGTTTGAATATATAAGCATAATAAAAAGAAGATTGAAAGCTAACATACAAGAACATTTTAGGAATGTAAGAAAATACAAAATTTTCATAAAATTGGCATCTGACGAAATTTTACAATTGAAACTTTTTCAAAGATTCATTACTATGGAGAAGTTACAAAAATCTACATTTACCAGCACATTTTCCTCAGTAGATATAAAGCTCGAAAATCCCTGAGTGGTAAGGATGGAAAGAAAAATGAAGACGTCTGTAAGATCTGCTAGTTCCAATTTTAACTTTGTAATTTTAATTGGATATTTTTCTGTGTTTTTTAAAGGAATGTTTTTAAACTTGATGGCCAAGCAGCCTAAAAAGAAAGGTCAGGTCATCAAATGTTTGCATTCTGGAACACAAGAAGTGAATAAATAGTGGTTACTGATTTCGGACAGATTATGTCTTCAAATTAATTTTCATAAAATTGCCATCTGACGAAATTCTACAAAAATACAAATAATTTTAGCATTGTTTATACAGGTATTAAGTAAAAATATAAAATATTTTGGAACAAAAGCAAAATCTTTAAGAAATTTAAATGTCAACTAGAATGTTAAAATGGTGAAAATGTTTTGGACTTACAGGAATCTCAAGTACAACAATTAACCATAGGAATAGTAAAGCAGTTCCAAATGCAGGCATTTAGAACTGTTTTACTATTTGGAAAAGGTTAAAGGATAGATTTAAAAAATAGTTGAAATCCTCTTTAGTTTAAAGAATTATCTAATATAAAATATTTTGTATTTAATGTTTGATGATAAAAATATTATATTTTATTTATTTTTTTTTTAAATTTCGTCGATATAACACATGTACTTCATAACAGTTACTATGGTAACAATTTAGAATGTTCTTACGTGAAGATTAGTTTGAAATTTGAAATCATTCATAGGAAAAATTGTTTTTTGCATACTTTTTCCAATTTCATTGTACAGCAACTCCTTATTTAACATTGTTGATAGGTTCTTTGGAACTGCAGTTTTAAATGAAGTAATGTATAAAGAAACCAGTTTTACCACAGTCTAATTGATATAAACTGATTTGAATTGATATTGATATAAAGATCATAATTTGGTTAATATTATAGTAGTCTCTCCATTCATGTGAATAATTTTTCCAAAGTCACAATATTAATTAACATTGTTTCAGTTTTTAATTTGTTTACAATATTATTAACCTTAAAGATATTTTAAAAGTATTTTCATTGTTGTATTTCATGCTTCTTCAGTTTGCTGAAATAAAATCAAGACAAAATGTCCCAAAAGAATGCTGTTTAAATTTCAAGCAATACTCTAACGATTATAAAAGTTTTTCTGCAACAATGATAGTACCGTGTTTCCCCTAAAATAAGACAGTGTCTTATATTAATTTTTGCTCTGAAAAATGCGCTAGGTCTTATTTTCAGGAAATGTCTTATTTTTTCCAGGAAGAAGAATTCACATTTATCATTGAACAAAAAAATTCCCAAATCGAACTTAGACGAGAGTGACGTATATCCGGTGTGTCGAACTGTCGCCTTTTTATAGCGTCAACATCGGACTCGATGACCAATTAGTGCTTACTGAACCGTAGCACTATGCAAATGTCATGTGGCGTGATTCCCGGCCGACCAATTAGCCATCACCAGCCGTAACGTTATGCAAATCTGTGATTCCCAAGCCATAGTCTTATGCAAATCATGCCGTGTGGCGTAATTGTCTGCTGACCAATCAGTGGCTGTACTTTCAAAAAGCCAACGGCTACTTTCAACCATCTGTCGATGACCGTTACGACTAAAAAAAACTTCGCTAGGTCTTACTTTCAGGGGAGGTCTTATATTTCGCAATTCAGCAAAATCTGTGCTAGGTCTTATTTTCTGCGGATGTCTTATTTTCGGGGAAACACAGTAAATACAATGTGACAGCTTTTTGTTTTATTTAAGTTAAAGCTTAGTATGCACAGTGTATGGCTTAGCTTTAATAGTAAAACTTTAGTATGTACAGTACTAAGCACACTTTATATTAAAGCTAAGTCAGTTATATACTGTTTAAAGTATTTACGAAATAAACATTCTTCTGTACTGCCAATAGGCAGTTGTGTGACTTAGCTTTTTGTATTAGTATTTGCATCTACAGTTATTTATATTTTAATGATAGATAAAAACAGAAACAATTAGAAACATGCTACTCTTGAAATTCTTTTGCTGATATCTTAGAATAATTGAGCAATTTCTGAATTTTTAAGTAGCTGTTGATGATGTGCTTGAAATTTTTGAGTGAGATCTTATATCTGTAAACATCTCAAAGCCTGACGTCTTTAATAATAAGCCAAATGATTGCCATAATGAATCAGGCTACTTTAATGCTATTGTTAATAATTTAATTCTAAGTAATTTGGAACTAGAGGTAGACATTAGGTGCCACTGCTTATTAAATTTAATAATTATAATTAAATAAAATAGTGGTTTACAAAATAATTTTTGGAATGACTGTGTCTTTATTTACAAANATCAGGCTACTTTAATGCTATTGTTAATAATTTAATTCTAAGTAATTTGGAACTAGAGGTAGACATTAGGTGCCACTGCTTATTAAATTTAATAATTATAATTAAATAAAATAGTGGTTTACAAAATAATTTTTGGAATGACTGTGTCTTTATTTACAAAGAAAAATTTGTCATCCGACAGAAACTTTATCAAAAAATTATAATTAAATTAATATTTAATAAATAATTTAGAATATTCTGGAAGAAAAGAATCGGTCCTGAGCACAACAAAAACCTGCAACTCCTGCTTACCATGCAGATTGCCAGTTATTGTACCCAGACCTCCATCTATCCCTTTGCTTCTAGACATATTTCCTTTTAGATGTAACTATCCACAGTTACTTACGGTGCTGACTGGGGACGACTCCTATGCCCACAATCTATAATCACCACTATGGCGCTCAACCAGCGAGTTCAAGTCCCACTCCAAGCTGATTCTTTTCTTTCAGAATATTCTAAACTAGCTGTTACTCGCAACTTCGCATGCACGGATTTTGCAAACAAACCCAATATAAATGATTCAGTATTTCAACAATCATAGTAATTGTTATATAACACCTACTGCTGAGAATGATGAGAATTGCTGAGAATCAAACAAATTATTTTCAATTTGATCAATTTTCTGGAACATTTACAATCTTTCTATAATCAAACCAATATGCAATAACAAATTTGAATTTAAAACGGTTTGAACGTTCAGTTAAAAAATCAAAATATATAAAAATATTTATAACAATGTCTGAAATATTATCAATTTAATACACCTAAGTACTCAATAAAAACTAAACATAGTTAAAAACAAAAAATCACATCTAAAATAGTACAGTAGAAGCTGTTCTTCAGGTTAAGTCTTAATCCTTTCCCTCTCCTCCACGGGGAATTTCAAAAAATCCCTTCTTAGTGTGTGTTTTCATGACGTATCCTAACTGTGTACGAAATTTCACCTCTTTAGGTTCAGCAGTTTGCTCTGGGTGATGATGAATCACTCAGTCAGTCAGGACAAGTAATTTTATATATTTAGATTATTTAGTTAATATTAATTTAAATATGATTATTAAATTTAATAAGTGATGATGCATAACACCTACCTGTAGACCAAATTTAGTTAGAATTTAATTATTAATAGTAGCCTAATTCATTACAGCAATCATTTGACTTATTATTGTGAGATCTTATAACTGCTTTCATTTGATCAAATTGAGAACTTTGTTTTGGAAATTTTTAACAAATTGGAATGACCCTCCAACTGCCGTATTATTGTTATTAAGGTTTATTTCTATGTATCAGATTTGATGTGGATGTTTATTTTTATAAATGGGAATGATTTTGTCAACCTGTTGATGGTTGATAATCAAATCTTAAATATTTTTAGAAAGATTTTAAGTTTCCTAACTTCTTGCCTGTGAACAGGAGATTTATGTTGAGACTTGTAATTATCATGGAAAAATTTGAAATTTTTGAAGTCTAGTCTTTGAGGGATAAATTTTGAATGTAATCCCAAAAGTTTTTTGATACATCAGGAGAAATCTGGATGTTTTGTATAGTTAAAAAATTTGGTTTTGAAAAAAATATTAATTTTGTATTTTTTATTATTATTATTATGGAAAAATTTTGTAATATATAGGATATTGCTTGAATTTAAATTTAAACAGTATTCTTGTGGTCACATTTTATTTTTATTTGATTGCAACTAACTAAAAAAGCATGATAATAAATTGGCAAAATAAATTTTTAAATATTTTTAAAGTTAATGACACTGTTTTGTCATTTATTTATTTTACAGTTATTTTGTGAATTTAATTAATTACATAATTCACAAAGGTTTATAATTACAGTCAAAATTTAGTTTTTGAACAACTCACTTTTTGAACAAATTGGTTTACGAACAGAATTTTGAACTCATAATTGTACTGATTGCTTGTGATAACTCAGTTATTGAGCAAGAGCTGGTCATAGATTAGGGACAGACAAATGGTCAACTCTATAAGTTCTATATTAAGGAAAGTCGACAGTCTACCCAATCAATGACAAGACTACTGATTCAGAAGTTAGTGGTGCTGAGATCATCTTGTGTCATTAGACATCACAACACAAATCATCAATGACATTGCTATTTAAATTATATTTCAATGTGCTTGTGGGAAAGATAATACTAATTCTGTGTCTTAGCACATGCTGCAGTTGAATTTAAATCAAATTAATTAATAAAAAGTGCATTAATTGACATTCACATAATATAAATGGCATCCTGGAATTCATGTTTAATGGTGCTTAAGTCAAATTATATAATAAAAAAATTATATTTAATAATAAATTTATTTCTCATTAGTACACAGTTGACATTCAGTATTAACTAAATGCAGCAACTTTTAATGAACATCTTTTAGAAATGTAATGAATACAGCCAAAAAGTTAAAAAAAAACAAAAAAAGCTTTATTTTCAATCAGGAATGGATTAATCCATTTTGTATTGTTTCTTATGGGAAAATTTTTTTCAGTTTTAGAACAATTTTTAGGAATAAATTGTTTGAAAACTGAGGTTTGACTATTACATTTTCTTTATTTATACTAATATAAAATTTTGTTTATAAATTATTTATTTGTTTCATTAAAATTAAAACAACTAAAAATTTAACTTTCATGTGTTGTTAAAGGTATTCAGATGCAAAATTGTGCTGTATGTCTGGATTAACAATGATAGAAAATAAGTATAAAAGTGAAAAATATGTATGGCCTGGTACTTTGGAAATTATAGAAGAAACTAAAACTGAGAAGTTAAAGGTATATAATTAAAATACTAAAATTTTTTGATAGTTTTTTTTTCCTGATATCGTAAATTTCTTTTTGCAATATTTTACATTTAAATATTTAAGAAAAAATAAATTTATAAAATATTCAAGCAAGATTATATTTGTTTGATGATATGATCATTTTTATATTTTTAACACTGAATTTTGGTATTCTACTAAATATAAAAAAGAATCCTCTTAAAACTTATTCTAGAGCATAAATAAGAAAAGATTTTCAATGATGATTGTTTTTGAATTAAATATTGACTAAAATATGGAAGTGAAATATAATATAATCAGAATTTCTATGCTTCTGCAAGAATTAGAAGATTATTAGTTAATATTGTTTGAAAAATTATATGTAGTAGCTCTTCACAAATTCATGATAGATAAGAAGAAAGTCATGAAAAAGTCATGAACACAAAGTTGGACGAAAAATATGATTTAAGATACATAAGTAATAATTATATTTGATTTGCTGTCACTTTCTGACAATAAATGTGTTCATTTATTATCAAAAAGTATAAAATCACTTTCATTTCTTGAAATGCTTTGGTCATAAACTTCAAGTTCTAGTGGAGAGATTCTTTTTTGTGACATTTTAACAAAAGTAATACTTGTTTCTAGTATTGCTGAAGTTTTATTTATTTTTGACAAGGAATTCAGTTATCAAATGTTGTGGCTATAAACATTGTATAATTTTTAGTAATTCTGTGTTTTATAGATCTAGAGAAGGCATTTGACAAAATTGACTGGGAAAGATTAATGGACATTTTGAGAAAAAAAGGAATTGGAAGGATAGGAGATTAATACTAAATGTATACAAATATCAGAGAGCAGTAGTTAAAGTGGATGATCAATACAGTGAGAAAATCAAGATTGAAAAGGGTATTAGGCAGGGGTGTTGCCTATCACTGCTTATTTTCAACATATACTTGGAAGAGATGATTAGGGAATATCTAGAGGAAGAGGAAGGCATTAAAACTGAGGAAAGGCAGATTCAATGCCTAAGGTATGCTGGTGATATGGCAATTCTGGCAGAGAGCAAGGGTAAAATGAGAATGATCCTGAGTGAACTGTAGAGGGGATGTGTGGCCTTCAAAACAAAAATTAATGTTAATCAAGCCAAAGTGCTATGGATCGGAGAAAAGGAAAGTAAGGTCTACATCAGGGTGGCCAAAACGTGGCGCATGCGCCAAATATGGTGCATTGGACGATTACAAGTGGCGCTTCAGCTAGTTCTGAGCAAAATTGCCAGATTTGGCTTTTTTGCGATTAAGAATATTATATAGAAAAATACATTTTTTATAGTCTGTCTTGGCAAGTTCATTTGTTGCACAATTCACTACAGTCTATTTTGCAGATAAAATGAATGCTCTCCACATATTAAATTACAGTGTATGCATGTATTTTGAGTCTTGCGATCTTTATTTCCGATCAGTTTACAGGCCTGTAAATGGCCGAAAACATTTATTGTGATTAAAGTTATTCCAAGCTGATCTCGTTTTCAGTGCCAATAATTGTGGTGCAGAGTAATTTTCATCAAACGAGACTCTGGCAGCAATAGCACCATCATGAAGCAATCACCCTCTAAATTGGTGCTTCAATAAACTGTCATAAATTAATTAATTCAACTGCGTGATTAAGTAATTCCCTTTTCTCCCCTAAGCGAAGCAGCTTTATTCTTATATCTATTTATCAAACCCTAACATTGAACGTAAGACTGTATAAAAAGTGTTCGAGTTATATGACGCATCTGAACTCGTCTGTCAAAAAATTGGCGCATGGTATGCAAAAGGTTGGCCACCCCTGGTCTACATCCATATAATGGTGACAAAGTGGAACAAGTGAATGGGTTTAGATACCTGGGTGCTTGGCTTGACTTGGCTTGAGTGCAGAAGTGGGAAAGAAATTAAGAGGAGAATTTGTATGGCAAAAGAGGCATTTAACAAAATAAAAACAATTTTGTGTGGGCCTCTGAAATTAGAATTGAGAAAAAGACTGGTCAAATGCTACATCTGGAGTGTTATCCTTTATGGTGCTGAAACTTGGACTTTGAGATAATATGACGTTAGGAGAAAAGAGGATCTGAATATGTGACTATGGAGAAGAATAGAGAAAGTCAGATGGAGTGATAAGGTGAGAAATGAGGAAGTCCTAAGAAGAATGGGTGAGAAAAGGAGCATATTAGAGACAATAAAGAGTCAAAAAGCTAATTGGAAGGAATGGTTGCAGGCAGAAAGAAATGAGGGAGAAGGAGAATTAAAATGGTGGATGACTTAAAAGAGGGTAGTTATAAGGAGTTAATCCCTGGCAATTCCAGTTTATCACTGCTAGCATTTGATTATTTATGGCATTTATTGTAGGACCGATTTTTTGCAATTTATTGGACTTTAAGTTGTAAAATTCTGTATTGGCAGGATTGATAAAAAATTTTCCACATTCACTAATTGTTTTGTTTTTATGCAGTATGTTATCTTGTTCTAATATCAAAATATCATTATGAAGTTTAACCTGATGATTTTGCTTTTTCATTTCGATATAGAAGGGAAGAAGATTATTTCGTCTTGTATGAGAATTCTTTGAGATCAGCTGAGATTTGCATATTTTGCCATTCACCAAGTAATTTTTCTTGTTTCTGTTTAATGAAAGAAGTGAAGAAAAGGTTGCAAATTTGGTTATTCCTTAATGATAGTTTTATAATAGAATTTTTTTGTATTAGTTACTTGAGTTAGGTCTAAGATATCTTCTAAAAGTATGGAGTAGATTATGTTTCATAAAATTCCATATATCTTGTTTGAAAATATCTTTTGAACTAGGATATTGCAAATATCAAATATGGTAGCTGTTTAACATATTTCCGTAAATGTCTGTCTCTTTAATTTGAATAAAAATAATTCCGTTAGACTATCACACAGCCATCAGGTTAGGTAGGTACTTCTTTTATTATATTTCCATACGCATTTCGGGCTTATTTAATTTCTAAACCCTTCAGTCAGTACTATTCACTTTTCTTAAAAATTTTTTCGTTACATTCATATGATACTTCTGGTTCTGTTTTCACAAACCATGGCCATATATTGGATAATATTAAAAAGATTTTCTTAAAATCTGACAATAAAATTAACAAAGGTACCTCCTTTGATATTTTTATAACATATAATAAAAATTTCTGTAAGTACTGTACATTATTTAAAACTTCTCCAAGGTGCTTTTGTTGTTATAAACTTTTATTTTAGGATAACTTTACAATATATTTCCTTCTATTCATTTGCAAAACATTACAGTTTATTACTCTAAAGTTACTTTTTTTAAAAAAAATAGAAGTACAACTGCTATTCTTGAAGGGTACAACTGGCCTTGCAACCTGCACCAACTCATTCACACACATACAATGTTCCATCTACTCACATTCATATCACTTAGTGGGGCTCTGAGAGCACTCACTCCAGGAGTAGGATGGCAATTAGCTTTCCTTTGCTTTGTTTCAACTGTTGGTGTGTAGCTGCCTTTCAACTTTGTATTTTAATTCTTATTTTCTGTCTTCTTTTTCAGTCTAAATTCGATTAGTCCTAGTTGTAAGTTAGATTAGGGACTCTTAGCTTGGTTTCCGGTTAGGTTAAATTGGATTAAGGTTTGTTAGCTTTTGTCTTCTGGTTAGGTTTGTTTTGGGTTATGGTATGTTAGTGAGTAAGTTAATGTTTAAAAAAATAAATAATAAATACAAAAAAATAATACAGTAGAGCGTCGATTATCTGAATCAATTGGGGACTGGGGTTGTTCGGATAACTGGTATTTCGGATAACCGATTATGCACAGAAAAATAGTTTAACATATTCAATGTTGAAATTTTTCTCTGTTGCAAACACGCAACAGAGAAAAATTTGCGTTGAATTTTCGTCGATGTTAAGCCTAACGAAGACCATTGTATTGTTAAAAATTATTTTTTTATTTTCTACAAACAAAATAAATATATTAAAAAATATAAAAACAATAAAAAATTATACTTCAGAAGTTAATTTAGTATCAAAAACGTAAAATATTTGAGTAGCCCAAGACATAGCCAAAGATTGCAGTTCCACAGCACTGGCGAAAATTTAAATTTGCCGACTGGAATTCTTTCGGATAATTGACTTTCAGATAATCGATGCTCAACTGTATTAATAATAATAAAAATAAATAAATAAAAATTTTGTGGGTGTTGCTCATTTGTCTTTATTGGTCCATTCATCTCATCTAGTTTGTCATTGTGTTTGTTTACTTTTCGTGCTGTCTGTCTAGTTGTTAAGTATTTTTAAGATTCGCAATCAAGTTCAGTTTTATTAGTATTAAGTAGATATGTCTTCCTACTAATAACAGCCAATTGGCACTAACTTCTACACTTTGCTATTTGTGGCGGCACTCAATTATTGGTGTTTGCTTCACTCAGGTTTTTTTTTAGACCTTTGGGAGACTACAGCCTTGCAGCCTAAAAGCTGCATGCCAACATCAAACATAGAGTGTACTGTAGCCTTATGTATGCCATTCAGAGAGATCCTACCTTTCTCTACTGTATCTCCTCTCCCTCCTTCTTCCCCTCCCCTTTCCCTTACCCGCTTTTCTGCCAGCTAAACACTTTGTGTACGTCTGATGTTTTTCTTGTATGTATGTCATAGAGGTGTTTGTAATTTCTTTAGTATCAACTATTTATTTCGAACTTCATCCATTTGACTCACCTGAAGTTGACAGTGAATCTTTTATGCCATCCATTTGTGAACCAATTTTGCCTTTAGATATATTCTGTACTTCTTTATCCTCAGGTAAACAGAAGTCAGTTATTAGTTTAGTGTTAGAGGTAAAATGCTCTTTCCTGTTGCTTTACTTACTTCGACCCAACGGGGGTCTTCACATTTTGTCAGAGATCTTTGTAAGGGACCAGGATTAGATTCCACTCCAGAAATGAGCAAAAGTATTAAAATTAATTTAATATTATCATATTTTCCCAATAAAAACACTTGAAAAACTTTAACTCAAGAACCACCTTCATATTGTTAAGGTCTGAGAGAAAGTGCGCCAGCAGTTTCAGCAGTCATGACACACCCCATTATTGTCTATTTTATCTTAAATATGTTTTCTATATATGGTGCATTTTAAATGTGGAAAATTATAACCTGATCTTGTTGTATAAAGAAAGTCATTAGGCAGCAGAAAACAGACTTTCACATTTGAGTGTTCCAAAACTGGATGGCTGAGTGCATTGTCTATAATTAATAGAACTTTAAATTTAATCTTTTTCTTTCATATAGGATCTAACATCTGAGACAAAACATTTATTGAACCATTCAGTAAAAATTTGTGTTTTCGCCTTTTTTTTTTTTTGTTTTTTTAGACATCCAATAAATTGATAATGTCAAAATTTATACTTTTTGTGGTTTTAGGGATTAAATGATAAGCAGCACTTCAAAATACAATCTCCTGAAGCATTGCTGCAGAATATCAGATTGTAAAGGTGAAATTTAAACATTTTGGAAAAAACTGTATTGACAATTAACTTAGCAATGATTACATTTTATTCTTGTAGGTAGTCACTATCAATATTAATCACATCTTGCCATCTTTGTTGCAAACTTTCAGTCTCATGAGCATAGAATAACTAGGATTTTTCTTTGAAAACAGTCTTGAGCATCAGGTTTGTCATTGAACTGTGTAGTGATAATATGATTTTTCAGGGTACAAAATAGATGGTAGTCAGTGCCAAGTATGGACTGTAAGGTGGGTGAGACAGACTGGCCAACTTCTCTAAGATCTTCTGTTGGAATTAGCATTTAGGTGTGAATTTGTTTGTTTAGTATATAATTCCAGTTTATGTATGCCAGTTTTTTTGTCTGATTCTCTAAGATCATCTTTGCTCTACGTGCTGGTGTGTTGTTGTGATGATATTGGACTTTGTCAATTTTTGGAATGTATGGAAACACTCAAGTTGAGCTAATTCTCTGGTAGTCAACCATAGATTATTGTCTCTCAGTTGCAGGAGAATATTGTCATCAATATTTGGAATTGCTGCCAGGATGGGGTTCATCTTGAAGTGAGAAATCACCATGAACTTCCAATTTGCACTTGCACTAGAAGTCATGTTATTTCAATTAAAAGATTTTCCCCTGGAATGAGTTAGTTAGATGACTAGCTTGACTGTTGTTATCAGGAAAAGAATGCTATACAGGGGCAAGGCACTACTAATATGAGGTGGAGAGCATATATTGTAAATTAAATAAATTAAACAGATGATTAAAAATTGCTGTCTGGCATTGTGACAATGTCACAATAAATAATTGCTTGTTATTATCATTTATTGCTTTTTTTAAAAATAAGAAATTTTATAGGTTATTTTAATTTTCTTTTTATTTTAAAATTATGTAATTAATTACTTTTTAAAACTGGAGTTGTTCTTTGTATATTCTACAAAAGACTTCACAGCAACATAATGGTATTGTATGGTTCACATATGAAAAAGAATCAATGTTTAATAACTTTGCATTGGGGGAAAAACTACAATCTTCCTGCTTTTTCTTATGCCCTTGTGTTCAAAAATGTATGACTTAACAAATCTCAATAAATTACATAATTATCACTATCGCAAATGCCGTTTTTCTCTAAATACATTTTATTGAAGAATTGAATTCTAAATGTAATGTTTTCTGCTGCAAAAAAAAAATATTGTGGTGATAGTGACACTGTAAGTGGCTGTATTTTGAAGTTGAATTTATGTGAAGCCATAATGTTTAAAGAACCGAAGTGCAAGTCACATGACTTTTGATGCTTAAAATGTCACAGCTGATATTGCAGAGAATTTATAACTTAGTGAGTTTTTTTTTTACTACTTTATTGTAAAATTGAAATGTTTTCATTCACTAGAAAATGTATTTTTACCTTCCCAAAAAGATTGTTTTTTGGCATTTACAATATTATGGCATTGCATTCTTCATATGTTTTTCAAATTAATGATTAATTTAATAAAATAAAAATTTAAGAAAGGCTAATTTATATATCATATAGATATATAAATTATATAGATATATATAGATATCATAATTTATATATCATATAAATTATGATATCTATATATAGATATATATAGATATCATAATTTATATATCATATAGAACAACTACTACTTAAAAATTTTTATTGTATTGACATAAACTATCAATATTTAAGGATTTTAAAATTTATAATTTTCAAATTAACAATTTACATTTAATTATGAAATTATATTTCTAGGAACTTTTAGAAAATCTGACAAAAACTTGTGATGTAGGTTTTATAGAGAAAAAAGATTCAAATAATTTTCTATTTAATGATTCCCACCCTCATTATGTAAATTCTAATTGGGAAAATATACCTATAAGTGCAACATGCAAATATGCGTCATGTTCTTTTAATAGAAGTATAAAAGCAACCTATTCATTAGATGGATATTATATTATTCAATGTAGTGATAATTGCTGCATATATTACCATTCAAAATGTTGGAAATTAATGAAAAAATCCAAAGCATTAATCACTGATCAAAAAGTAAGTCAATTTTTAATATTTTATGGTAAAAGATATTTATTAAATATAAATATATTAAACTTCTTAAATGTATTTTTTTTTTTGTAATCTTGAATTTTATTAAGGAAGAATAAACTTGTCTGTTCACAAAAACATACATTTATTTTCATTATTAAACTAACAGTAAATAATGAATAAATGAATTATATAAATCCCAGTTTGTTTGAAATGCATTAAGAATGTAAACTTTTTATTTTGTTTTACTTTTTGTTAAAATTTTTTAATTTGAGTTCATTCTTCATTCAAAACTAGCAACTATGACCAGTGTTGCACAAGCAAAAATTAAGAACTACAAACATTAAAATGAAAACCATATAAAGAATTTGGTTATTTTAGCCTATCATTGTATAGAATGTTACAATTTTGTTGATCAGGTAGACAGGAATTGGTGTTTTTAACAAACAAAGAGAAGATAATTCAAGACATCCAAATTTTTTCTAATGTTAACTCCAAACCATTCACAGCCAAGTATGAAATGGTAATTGGCAAACCAATAAAATTTTGTGTAAGATTGAACCAAATATTTAAACTTAGCACCTTTTTGAAAACTACTAAAAACACATTTTTGCTTGCTGTAATTTTGTATTAACTAATTTTCCTATTTCAACTACCATCCCACTGGTCAGATAGAAACTGTTGCAGGCTGGGAGTTGAAGTTAATTTAATGAAAAGTAGCCATTGACCTCCTGGATGAATGGATAGATCTTGAAAAGGTTCATTGCATTTGCTCAAACTGTATCAAAATTATATAAAGAACAAACCAACAAACCTTTCTGTATTAAATTAAAAATTTCTTATAATAATTAACTCTATCAATATTTATTATTCTAATTTCAAGAAATATTACTTTAGTTATTTTAAAAGAAATAAATATAAATGGAAAGTTTAAGAAATTTATAGAAATGAAAACTGAATGAAATCATGATCATTTATTAAAAAATATATTCTTTAATTTCTAATATATATTTTTAATTAATAATTTAATCTTTTAATCTAATAATTATACCTCTCATATCTTTAACATATTAAATATACTTCGTTCAGTTTAGATTAAGATCCTCAGTGGACTTGCCAAGTTGCTGAGATCTAAGTGCTGTCAGTACCAAGCATTACCCTCCATTCCTCTTTTTTTCCCAGTCTGCTCCCCAATTTAAAGATTTTTGGAGAACCAACTTCTGACCAATCGGAAGGATGGTTGTGCATGAAGCTTTTCTGTAGGTCCAAGCTTGACCTGAATGTGAGGGTTGTCCTCTCCTTGTTGAGTTTTTGTTTTTCACAACTCATGGCAAATGGTTTTATGACCAGAATCCACCTGGGTCCAATTTAATTGATTACAAATTGCTTTGTTTATCTCCTAAACTAATACTTTACAAGCATATTCACAAATTTTGCTATTATTCAGCTTATTGGTTACACCAGGGCTTCTTAAACTATGGGTTGCGACCCCATTTGGGGTCGAAATCGTGTCGCTTAGCGAAATCTTGGGTTTGCAAGAATGCAGTTTTAAATGTTGCCTGGAGAGTTAAGCAATTTGTTGCTGGATTTTTAAAGTATAAGTCAAAATTGACAAAATACTATGAAATAAAAGTGTAAATCTAGTGATTTTTTTATTAGCTGAAATAATTTTTTAGTAAGGAAATAATGAAAAGATTATTTTTATCTTTCCTCTTATTTTATACACATTGTAGCATGTACTTTTAACAATAATATTTCCATGTTTAAGCAGGAAGTCAGAGGTTCATAGCAGATTCTTTCATTATTTGTACTTTCTACTCTGTTTGTTCCAATTAGAATTTTCATCTTCAATGGATATGTGTTTAGTTGGAATCACTATTTATTAAAATAAGATATTTCTGGAAAAAAAGAATGATAGTAAATTATTTCCTAAAGTTTTTTTTATAGAATCTTACAATATTTAAAAATATTTAAATATTTCTTGTTAGTGTAATTATATAATAATTAGAATAATTTATAAGATTTACTAATGGAAGAATTATTGGAATCTAATAATTATTATAATAGTGATCTGAAGTAAAAAAAAAAAAAGATTGAATAACTGAATAACAATTATTAATAATTTTGTTTATTGATTTTATTTTTCATAACTAGATTTTGAATTTAATTAGATATTTAATGGTGGTTATTAATTTATGTTGAATTTTAAGATTAAATTATTCACTAATTTATTATTATTTTGTAATAGACATTTTTGGCAGGAGCATGTTTGACACCAGATTGTTGTGGAATTATAAATTTAATTCAGATGTACAATAAAAGGAATGAATTGCAAAATGAGGTAATGAGATACATATTTGTTCATTTTTAAATTTTTAAAGAAATTAAATATTCTTATATTTACATCATACTTTAAAATATTTGAAATCTAATCACCATGAATTTGAAAACTTCTTACATTATTATGTTTTTTTTTTTATTGAAAATCTGAATGTTTCATACAAAAAATTATATTTTTTGAAGAAAATGTGAAAATGTTAAATCAAATATATTAGTGACAATATTTTTACAATATTCAATATAGGCAGTTAAAGAAGATCAAAGATATCTTAATTAAATGTGAGCTTTTCACAAAAAAATTTTAAATTTGTTTTTTTTTTCTATTGAAAAATACACATTTGTTAAGGATATATTTATTTTAAACAATAGCTTATATTAAATCAAAGATCTCCAACTTCAATAATATAGATGCGAATGGTTATTTTGAATTTGACTTTAATTTCTTTTAGAAACTTTTTTCATAACTGAGTGCTCTTGAACCTCATCACTAGTCTATCTTCAGGGATAAAACATGAAAAATTTGTTCAATTTAATTCTTGTTGAAAGCAGTTTTCAATGTTAGGAACTTCAAATCAAATGTATATTGTCCAGACTTAACCATTAGTTCTGAGCTTCTCTAATTACTTTTAATCTAAAATATTTGTTTAACTTAAAATAAAAATTAAAGTGGTTAGTTGTGCTAAAAGATTTAGAAGCATATAATGTGTTATAAATTTAAAAATTTTCAGTTACTAAAAGGGAATTTAGATGTTATATATATATATATATATGAATATAGGGTGTACTAAAAGTTCCCTTACTCAAGTGTTGAAAATTATTTCCTGGCATGTGAAAAACTGAGAAAAGAAGGCATTACGATATGGATCTGTGGCAATTTTAAAAGTTTTTCGGACAAATTTATATGGATGAGAGTAATTGTGTATCATTTGACTGGAAAATGGAAAATGTGGCCATGTCAACTGGTATTTAATGCAAAACAGAATCACACTTTCAAAGGCTTATTTCAACGCAGTCTTACAATTGATGAATGGAGATTTGAAAGAAAATAATTTGCAGTGATGTACCACCAAGTATGAACTTTGTATGAACTGTCTAAAGATTTCATGAAACCACTTTAGACCTTCCACTTACTTGTCTGCATCTACTGTGGGCTCTCCAGCTGTTACTGAGGATACGTGGCAAATACTAACAGTGTTCTCAAGAAAGTTTTTGAGATGACTTTCTCAGTACCTAAGATTACCACTAGGGTCAATACACAAGACTGTCAAGCAAATTAAATGTTAAATGCATCTGCAAAAAGTTTTTGTGATCAGTGTTTCAGGTTGCCAGCACAAAAATTACTGATCATAATAGGATGATATATTGTATGTTGTGAGAAAGCATGACTATGCTCCAAGATTTTTTATATCACTGCATCATTTCTAAAGACTCAATCCTCAGAGATAACATTTCCGGATTTGTTTTTAAAAGAGTATGTAAAGAATATGATTTATGTAAATAATACCCACAGTTTGGATGTTCCAAAATACATCATTCATCAAGTATAGCTGCAAGTAGTAAGCATATCATACTAACTTTGTTAAGACACATTACTTAAAATGCAAATAAACAACACACATCAGCTATACACAGAAATTTTAAGAGTAGATGCTGGTATTATCTCCCTTCCAGCTGGAGGCAGAGATCCATTCAATAAGAAATGAACCTCTTCATAAACACCAGAGGAAATACAATTCACCACATCCAAAAAAACCTTTGTAACTCCAGTGATGTGTGTTTACACACCAGCGAACGTTTTCGACCCCATCTGGGTCTTCATCAGGCTACGGTTATACGGAATTCGAACGCATGCAGAACGGAACAACAAAACTAAACGAATGAGATTCAAACTTTAGAAAAAAACCAAACTTAAGAATAAAATGGAACATTACCCACGTGCTGAAATGACGGTTAAGCATGCGCCACTTCACGTTTGCGAAACGTTGAAAACGGACAAAATATACGCACTCCAAACTCATTTACTAGGGTAGGGTTCCCTCATAACAAAATTTCCATGCGCTAGATATCCCCACTGCATCACTGGAGTTGATGCGCGTGCTACATAATCCTGCTTTATATATTTTGAGTGTCTCCATGGCTCTCAGTTGATCAGTACGATGCGAGAGTCTGATCAGACGGTCATTTTGTATGTCAGCCATGATTCCAGGTTCAGTGGCAACCGTTGATAGGGCGGTGGTGTGTTTTTTATTGTCAATGTCGTATTTATGCTCCCAAAGCCGTTTATGAAGGGAGCATTTGGTTGAGCCCACATAAACCAACCGGCTGTTAAATCTGTCATCCCAAAACAGGACAGCATATACCCCGGTGCATGTTTCAAGTCTATTGTGTCTTTTCCATTGCGAAGTAAGTTGTAAACAGATCTTGGCCTACTATAAGCTATCTTAGTCTTAGTGATGGATGAAATTTCCCTATATTTGTATATTTTATCCAGATGGTGGTTGTACCGTACAACTTTTCTTGCACCTTTATTATTCAAAGACTCCCCAGGGGCATTGGTAGTGTCACGTGCGTTTGCCCTTGTGTAAGCGCGAGCGATATTATATATTAAGTTCTTATTGTACCCATGCTGTGTGGGCATTTCCTGAATGTGTCTTAGCTCATCTATCGTGTCTTCATAATTAGAGTTGTGCATGAACACCCTCTTAGTTAAGGCCCGGAATGCCGCGATCTTGTAAGAATACGAATCCTCCGAGTTGGCGGGGATGAAAAGCAACAGTGCCGTGCATTTTCTGGACTTGGACCTTCAAATTAAGGATAATGGGATCATATCCAAGGTCTATTACAAAAAGTCCTATGTACTGCTTTTCATTCCCGCCATATTATCAATTAAATCATAAATAATTTTATTTTATTTATGAAATGACTGTTACAGCTAATTAAAATGTGAATTAACGATATAAAGATAATATTTTATTTTTAAGAAGTTGAATAATTTCAAATGCACTTTTAATGGAGGTAAATTAAAACTTTAATTACTATTGTCATTAAAAAGTTATTACAAATTTTAAGATATTATAAGCTGTGGAGAGGTTAAAAATATTCGTTGTAAATTTGAGGAACTGGTTTCTACGTGGAAGAGTAGAGTATAGCTGTTGATTATTATTTATGATTTAATTGATAATATTTTTAGGTCATTAACTTTATTTAAAAGTTGTTATAATTTTTAAAACAATTTTATATATATTAAAAAAAAAAAATTAACTGAAGGTAGGATCGAATCTAGATTGCCTGCATGGCAAACGAATTTGCTACAGACTCAGCCATTTCGCTGTGTTGCCATAGTGTAAAATCGACCAGTATATGAGCTGCGCTTAAAACTTTAGACCCCTTTTTTCTCAGAATCTTCTGGCTAGTGCGCTTTACAATTCTTCTGGATGGACACCCTTGAGGTATACTACTAACTTGCAAACTCTCATCCCGAACTGAATTTCTGAGACCATAAGGTCCCTTTGTGAGTGAAAATTGAATGATATTTAGACAAAAAGAAAAAGTATTCTTATCCATAAACCAACTACTACAAACCCGATGTACATACATAATAAGTCAACAACTACCAGATTATATTGGGCTGTTATATCATGATTATGTTTAAATATATCTGGAAGAGAGATTGGAATAGAGACTTGGGTCATGTAACTGGCAATGCATCCACATGGTAACTGGGAGTTGTGAGGTTCAAGCTCCACTCTGGGCCAATTATTTTCTTCCAGAATATTCTAAATTATTAAATTTAATTATAATAATAAATTAAATAAGAGATGGCACTTAACACCTCCCTCTAGTGACAAATTATTTAGAAATTAATTAAATATAATTGTGAAAAATGTAGCCTGATGTAATCCAGTAGTAGTTTGGCTTATAACAATGGTGAATTTTAATTATTCTAATATATTCTATTTAATTCATAAGCTGTGTTCTCCTGCAGCAGAAGGAGCATGCAGTTTACTGTGTAAATTAATGATGCCAAAATAAATTTATTTGTATTATTGAAGATGATAATCATACTAAATAAGTAATTACAGTAGAGTCACAATAGTTTCAGGTTGTCTCATTACTGATCAACTCAAAGTATACAGTGGAAAACAGTGGAAAGGGATTAAATAATGTCATGTTTATTTTATTGACTTAAAGTACATGATGTCTTGTACAATATGTGGCAAGTGGCAACCATATCTGGAAGTATCTTGCAACCATATCATTTCACAATGCAATAAATTGAAAGCCAATATTAGATCTTCAGTGTGCTTACAATTTCAGTGTATGGTATCTAATCACATATTTGATTGGAATTACCCAAATATGTCATTTTTATGCATCTGGTTAAATACAGTATGTGTATTTTGACTTAAAGGTAATTAGTGTCTCAAACTATATGGAACCTCAAACTGTTGAGACTCTATTGTATTTTGTTACAATTCAAGTATAATTTAGTCCTGTTACTAATATTTTAATCTTTTAAATCAGTGGTTCCCAATTAGTTTTTCCTGCGTACCACTTCAAGAAAGAGCTCAAACTCACGTACCCTTTATAGCAGAAATTCATATTAATCCATACTAATATTATAAATTCAAAGGTAATTCTGTCTGTCTGTCACCTTTTTACGTCTAAACCGCTGAACAGGTTTTAATAAAATTTGGCACAGAGATAACGTACATGTTGGAGATGGACATAGGCTACATTTTACTGCGAGAAAATATCTTATTCCAATGAGAAAATTCGATATAATGCAGGCAAAGCTGTGGGTAGACAGCTAGTGATAAATAGAATAATTTTTTTTTTTACATTTATTACCTTTAAAATACAATTCTAATAATAATGAAAATAACATAAGGTTATTTAATTTTAATGTGGCAAATGTGCACGATTATCTTTGCACAACTTTGTAAAATCTGGTTGCTTTTTGATCAGCTTCAGTCTCGAGTCATGTTCGAGTCAAAGTCGGTGACATTGTTTAGTTTTCATGTTTGTCATGGCCGAAAGTCCGCTCTTGCAGAGGTATGTTGTGCAAAATGGTAGTAAATATTTTATTGCCGCTTTGCTGACATGATGATAACGATAATTGTACAATTAACACAATTTGTGTTTCTTGCGTAAGAATTTCATTTAGGTATTGTCACAAATGCATTTTTTTAAATGAAATTTTGAGAATATTTTTAGTTATAACTAAACGAATTTGTGCATTCGACATCGTGCTGTAAATTGCAGAATTTTTTATGGTCCACCCGTTATTTTTTTGATTGCTTCATCTCGAGCATTTAAATCTTAAATCAATTGATTTTAGATTGCCGTGCATACCCCTTCATGAAATTTCACGTACCCCTGGGGGTATGCGTACCACTAATTGGGAACCACTGTTCTAAATCATTAAAATCATTTATAAGCTTAATTTATATTTATTTGTGTATACTATTAATAATATACTTTTAAAAATTGTTATTAATAATTATTGAAAGAAGTAATAGTAAAAGTAAATATAAGATATTATTTTTGATTCACATGATGATAAAATCTTTTTCTCTTTTTTAGTTTCCAATTGAAAATGATTTAAATAAAAAACATAGAAAAAACAAGTGAGTATTAAGTTTTATTGCATTTAATTTTAATATCTTAAAAACTTTTTGGTGTGTAGCTTTTTTGTGATCATGTAAGATGATTTTGATTAAGAGATTAGATATTATATACAAATTGATTTTACTTTTAATTTCAATTCATAAAAATATGTATTTATTGTTTTAAAAAATTTTACAACGATATCAGATAAATTTTTTTTCTAAAGAAAAATATGTACAATATGATAGCAGTTGCATTTGTAGGGCATAACTGATCTTAATTGACACTAAAAGAATATTTTCATAATATAACGTTAGGAAAATTCATTTTCTTAAATAATATAACTAAAAACTATCTGTATAATATAGTAAAAGAATTGTAATATTGTATACTACGATTTTGTTGTTTTGGTTAGAAATCAAATTTTTTTAACATTTTCCTCCACTTCAATTGTAAGTTGAATTTTAATGCAAAATATTACAAATACAGTAGAGTGTCGATTATCTGAATGCCAATCAACCAAAACATTGGTTAACCAAAAGCATTCCAGTCGCACTGTGTTGTGCTGAATTGAACGTTCTTGATACTAGATTAACTTCTAAAGTATAATTTTTTTTGTTTTTATATTTTTCCATATATCTATTTTGTTTGTACAAAATAAAGAAATAATTTTTAACGATACAATAGCCACGATTATTATTATAAAAATTTTTGTTAGGCTTAACATCAACGAAAATCCAACATAAAACGACACGCAACGGAGAAAAATTTAAACATGGGACATATTAATATACTATTATTGCGATATACTATTGATAATATACTATATTAATAATGTACTTTTTCGTACATAATCGGTTATCCAAAAAATCAATTTTCTGAACAACCCCAGTCCCCAGTCAATTCGGATAATCGACACACTACTGTACACAATGAGAAATAATAAACATAAAAAACCTAAATAATATTTATTTTAATAATAATGTTCTATATACAAATGTAAACACAAAATCATTATCTTGTCTTCATTATCTGCATTTTTTGTTAAAAAAGATTGATTCCTCTTGAAATTTACAAATGAAGGATACTTACAATAAATATGAAGTATAAAAAAAAAATTCTGAAGTGGCATTTAAAATATATGTTCCCCATCTCAAATTAATATTGCCTTGCCCCTATACATCATACTTTTCCTGTTAGCAATAGAGCCATATAGTCATCTATGTAACTCCATTCAGGGGAAAATTTTTAAATTGAAATCACGTGACTTCCAGTCTAGACCTGAAGTTTGTATATAGTTAAATTGGGGCCTCCTACCCCTAATCTTTCCATATCTGGTCTTGACTTTCATCTATCTAATACTGTTCTTGAGATTAAGGAAGGAAAGGCAAACAACAGTGGACATTTACAGGTCTACAATTTTTTCAAATTGCAGTCCAAAAAGTCAAAATTTTAAGTTTAAGGATATCTATATAGTGTATGCATTATTAAAATTTATTTTCTTTTAATAATAATATTAAAACTGCATGAAATAAGATCACATAGGATTACAAATTCATAATCTGAAATATATTTTAATAAAAAATATCTAAGTAATTATGAAATTTAACAATGAGTGATTTAATTTAATTTATTATTAAAAATAAAACAGATAAAGTAAAACTTTTTTTTTTATAAAAGTCGTTTTCTAAATATTTATTAGTCTATACTATGAGAATATGGGCGAGAAGACAGAGCCCTCTAATCGTCGAGTTGGTAAAACTCGCCCACTTTGTCTTTGGGATAGCTTTTTATTAAGTGGCAAGGTGGTTGGGGAAGATGGGTTCACAGGTTAAACAAACAAAGGAGTTTATTATATAACTAAAGCTAATTTACAGGAGTATACATAAAGAATTAGATGATTAAATGCTTAAATGCAGATAACACATAAATCTATCTATAACGGCGATCTAACTAGTAATTATGTTGTGTGCCTAACCTCTAGAGTGAGATAGTTTACAAAGGCTACTGCACTCAGATATACCTTAAAATGCTGTCGGATGAGGTATGCGACAATCATTCTGGACTATGGAAGCTGGAACAGTCTTATGTCTTCTACCTGCTTCTCCTCGGACAGGACCAGGACAAGGACAGGAGACATTTGTACTCAGACCTTCCTGGGACAATCGCCCTGAACTTCCCGTGATGATCATTTTTATACAATCATCATTGGCACTAAGCCAACTGATCGTTCATTCGTTACGATGACTAATTAGCAGACGTGCAATGACTTCTTTCTTTCCTTCCTATCTTGTCGATATGTAAGAGTCGACATCTGATCTATTTCCATGGGAACTAGCGGAAAATTTGTTTTCATCCTCTAATGTCTACACTTCCTTCAAAAAAGGTCATTTTAACCCCTTAAACTCAAAAATTTATTCCCTCAAAATCCTCGGGTTCACAATACAAATAGAAGTAAATTTACTATTTTTGGTAATTGTATTTTTCCATAATAATTAAATAAGTTTTTGCTAAAGAATTGAGGAAATTAAAAAATTGGCATGTTGTATTAATTTTTTGAGGTCTGTTAAATATAAAGATTGTTAAGTAATACCATTTTCTATCAATTATTTCATTGTTTTATCTTGTTTGTTTATTTTTCTTCAAACATATCCAAATGTACATTTATTGAGATAGAGGGACTTGAAGAAAGAAATCACTGTAGAAATGTGTGTAGATATGCATGTTTCTAACAGCAGCTTGTTGATTCTTTCTTCATTGGTCATTAGAGTTGATAGAACAACAGTTAGTTACTGGATATAACAGACTGATTTAGCTGCCATATTGTATCAGGGAACTGGATACCTGTAAAATTTTACAAATATAAAAATAAATTATTTGTTTGGATTGCAATGAAAAAAATTAGAAACAAAAAACAAGTTAAATTATAAACTAATGATTTTAATTGTTTTAATTACATATTTAATATTGTAATTCAGTTATTAAGAACTGTTTAATAAGACAAGAAATTTTAAATTAAAAATCTGTAAATTTTAATAACTTCCACAACTTTAAATTCAAAAAATGCATCCTTAGTTATGTTGTTATTTGTTCATTGACCCTTTGGCTCATGTGACTTCAGGAAAGTTGGAAGTATTGTACTTTGTAATAATGAAATGTGTCCTGGTCCTGTGAATTCAATAACAATCATGTCATTTAATATTTTTAATCAATATTTCTGAATTAACTAAACCCATTAATGTTGAAATATTTATCCTTGTCCAAGGGACTGCAAATTGATTTTGCATTAACCCATAATGTAATAATGGTTTTGACTATATTTTTCTAAGTTGATAATTATTTTATTTGGACTTAAAAAACTTTGATAAAAAGATAGCATTTATTTCTTTTTTTAAACAATTCAAACCAGATATAATTATATCTTCACTGCTTTCATACCACTCTTTGGAAATATTAGCAAAGTAAAGGCTAAATAATCAGTATTAAGGAAAAATGCTTGATGACTTTGACATTAAAAAATAATGAAATATGCCACATTATTACTGTATTTAAAAAAAGTTCCAAAATGCTGTGTGCATCAACTTTATTCCTTTTCCTCCAAACACACAATCTTTTTAAAATAGACTTCTAATAGGTTTCAGTTTTGAATATTATTAGAATTAGTATTTACTTAATAAAAAACACCAGTGATAAAATTTTAGGAAACTTATTAGAGATTACTTGCAATAGCAGTCTATGATGAAGAATATGAAAATTTTCCAGAACATTTTCACTTTTAGAATTGATGTATCCTGGAAAAAGAAATGGAGAACAACCATTTTTTTTTGTAAAGAATACCATGTTATGAGCATGTAAAATAGAACATTTATAAGTTTTTCACGCCTGTAAAATCACAGTTGATAAATAAAAAAAATTAAAAAATGCATAAAGGAGACTAAAATGTCTTCATTTTTTGCCATGTCCAATCATCAGGTACAACAGTCTTCCATTGCAGAGACAACTTTTTATTAGAGGTTGTGCTTCTGCAAAAATATGCAAAACAGTTTAAAAAGTTCACTGGTGACAAAAATGCCTAAAGTATTGGCCTGTCACCAGTGAACTTTTAAACTGTTTTGCATATTTTTGCAAAAGCACAACCTCTAATAAAAAGTTCTCTCTGCAATGGAAGACTGTTGTTACTGGTGATTGGGCAGGGCAAAAAATGAAATACATATTTTAGTCTATTCTACATATTTTTTAATGTGTAAAAATCATCAGCCATTTTTAAAAGAAATGGGAAAATTGTAATAATGCTGAATAATAATTTTTATTGAAATTATGAAAATAGTATATTTAAAACTAGCCAAAATAATCTATATGTAGCCACTTGTTTCATAATATTGGGTGCAATCTCTGTTAATATAAAAGTAAACATGTAATATATATAATTATATAACTAATGACGGTTAATAGAATAAATAGTATAAAATTACTACTAATATTTATTGTGTGTTATAAAATACAACAACAATATACTTATATTTAAATTTTTAATTTTAAAGATTGGAGAAAAGAGAGGAAAAGAAAAAATTAAAAAAACAACGAACAAAAGCTTTATCTTGTTCATCTGATAAATCTTCAATTGAGAATGATCCCTTAGATTTAACAGATACTGTAAGTAATCCTGAGATTGAAACAAAAATGAATTCCCAAATACTAAAAGACCATAATCCAAAGTCAAACAGAACAAATAAAATAAAAAAAGATTACACTGTGAAACCAAAAATAAAACGTAAGTATTTCCTTATATAATGTAGATACATTACTTTTGTATTAATAATGATTATTTTCTTTCTATTGATTGTAGATCTTACTTGCACAAAAATTTTATTATTGATAACATAGTCAATATACTGTGCATGATTATATCCATACAGTTAACACTAATAGTAGTAAGTTGAAATAGTATTTTAATTATGAGAGCTTACTACTATTCATCATTAGAATAATTTTTATTTTACTATTAACGTTAACTGTACAGACATGTTCATATATAACAGCAGATAAACAGTGGTTTTGGAATTAGTCCAAACCAGTTAATCAAATTTAATACAAGATTGTAATTTATTTTTAGCCCAAACCAAATTATGCAATATCTATATATTTAATTAACCAAGTTATAGCCCAATAATGAAATCAGTTTTGATTATTATTAAAGAACAAGTAATTATTTATTGTGACATTGTCACAATGCTGGGCTGCAACATTCAATCATATATTTTAAATTGAATAAATTAAGAAAACATTTTCTTTCTCAGATTAGTAGTGTCTTGCCCCTGTATAACAACAGAGCCATGCCAGTCATTTATGTAACTCCATTCAGGGAAAACTTTTTAATTGAATTCATGTGACTTCTGGTCTAGACTAGAAGTTTGTATATAGTTGATTGGGGTGTCCTGCCCCTAAGCTTTCTATATCTGGTCTTGACTTTCATCTATCTAACACCATTCTTGAGATTAAGGAAGAGACAGATAGACCACAGTGGGAATTTATAGGTCTACAATTTTATGTTCTTATATTCTTATATGCAATAATCTTTATATGTTCAAACCATCCAAGAATAGTGTGTGCTTATATATTGGTCACATGCATCTAATGTACTCTTTATACAAGTTCTGGTTTAGACTTGTACAGTTTATTTTTTGTCTACCAACTTATTCTAATTTGCTTGATTATCACATTGTTATTACAATTCACCATCTATGAATCTTAACTTCTTTTAACTTAAAATAATTGCTATATTTGTCATTATTTTTCTTATATTCTTTCTAGCTTTAAATTTGATAAGAAAAATGTTCATATAAAAGTTTTTTTATACTCTATACTCTCCATCTTTCTTTAACTACATCTGGTTTCTAGCTGTTGCATCTATATCTCACTATTACAGGAAAATTCCAATTATGTCTTGATGTGAAATGATTGGTAGTTATTTACTTGGAGACTGTACAAAATTGCAATATGAGTTGTTTTTTCTTGTATTGAAATGTTAGTGTGTATTAAGAAATTTATAGTATGAGTGCTTGCTAATGATGAAAGTTTATTCTTAAAAAAATATATTGTTTTATATGTTTTTTATACTATTTATTATGTCTAATTAATTAAATAGCAATTACAAACTTGAAATGTTCTTGATGATCATTTTTAAATAAAATATGCAAAACAAAAAATAAAAATGTTGACAATTTTATTTTTATGCTTAAAGAAAATGAAATTTCTTGGACTGTATTGTCAAAGGATGGAAAAATAAGACAGTTTGAAAATGTAAGTGTTAAATTTAGTTAATTTATAAAAAGATACTAGATACCTTACACATGTTTCCAGCCTGATTGATAAGCCGTCATCAGGTTACAGAAAGAAATTTAAATAGAAACATTTGTTTTCATTAAATTTTGTTACATGTAGTGTCTTCTTATACTGGAAAAGTTCCTTGTTAGACTGTTAATATTTGTTTATAGATTCAAGTAAATCAATATCTTTTATAACAATTTAAAGTAAATATGGTATATAAGATGCACCTTAATTTCTAAATACATGAGTTTTTATTATTACTGATGTATAATGCCAAACTCTATTGATGTCACACAATTTTAAATGAGTTAAGTAAATAAGAAATTAAGTACTTGCATATTTTGTCATGATATTAATTATGCAATATTTACATGTAAATATTAATACTGGCATAATCTATGATTTAACCAGCAATAAATATAATTTGCATAAATAATAACATCATTACTTTATACACTCGTGTGTGAAAAATTGCAACACCATGAAGGAATCATCAGAAATGAATGAAATTGTATCACTACATCATCATCATTTTTTATTTGGCACAAAATGTGCTGCCTGGTGGTGCTTTGTGGAACCAGGCAGCAGGTACAGTACAGTGAATATATAAAATGGATTACTAGTATAATGAGATACAAATAAAGTATAGTTTACAGATGAAAATAAAATAAAAGTCTGCATACAATGTACAGTGATTACAAATAATAATATAAAATGAATTTACTAGAGAAATAATACAGTTGAATTCTAAAGTACAGTAGACCCCCCTATAACGCTTAGATACGTTCCACGCTAACCGAAAATTACGTTGTAGGAATGATTAAATACATGAGCCAATCGCAGCCCGATAGGTGGGAACTTTACGGACTAAGGCTGTTCGAAAAGTTTTCTTCTATAAAATTAACCGATTCTAGACTAATTCCACTCAACATTTCCAAAACACGTATAATTTTTTGGGAATAATCCGTATAAACTACGCTATAAACAAAAAATTATAGGATTACTTACCGAGTGTGTACCGTTCGACTACGCCGTTGCTTAAAGCTGGTTTTCATCGCGGAACAGCACATGAAACGACGGCCGCGATTTCTGATAACGAATTTTTCGCAGAAAAATAACTTGACCTTTGGAGACATCATTAATATAAATAATTTTTATGGCCGTTGAATAAGAAGTGTTTCTTTCACAAGAAATGTATAAAATTAGTGCTGTATTAGACTTACGGTACCTAATTTACATACTGTACAGACGATAATAAACTCAACTTACTAGCCTAAAATCTCCGTAGCGTGTTGCCAGGCGGCAGAAAGCATATATATAATTATAATAAAGTTACAATAAATTAAGTTAATATATAATTATATATACAGTACCTAATTTATATATAATTAATATATAATTATATGTACAGTACCTAATTTATATATAATTTATATATAATACTAAACAGACGATAGCAAACTCAATTTAGCCGCTCTGTAGCGTGGCGCAAGGTCCGAGGAAAGTAGTTCGGCTGCTCATCCACTATTGGTCCAGACTCTATCAATCTTCTCGTGAAACGACGTTATAGGAGGTACGTTATACGAAAGTTGCTACAATTTTTTCACTACGTTATAGGAATTTCTGTTATAGGAACGTACAGGGGGGTCGACTGTATTGTTGAAATACAAATATAAATACCACTCCGAGTACAATGTACAATAATAACATATATAGTAAAACAAAATGAGTTACAGGAGAAATAAAAATACAAATAAAGTATAAAGTATGTAACAAACACTTTGTTCTATATTTTGGAAAATTTTTTTGTCTTTTATTTAAATTTTATATAATTTTAGATACATGTTGATGAATTATTAAAGTACTCAGAATATCTACAGAAAATTGTAATATTAAATAATGTTTTTACATATTTACATAAAATTATTTACAAAATTGTTGTAGTTGAGGAATGACAATGGTGACAAAGAACAAAAGCTAGCGGGATCTGACTTGAGGACTGTTGTGACTTTGTTGTAGAAAGATATACGCTGTTTGAAGTAAAAGTAAACATTCTTGTCTTCTATTAAGTAATTATACTTGCATGGCCAACATCCCCCTCTGTCCAAAACTGCATGCCTCAAAAAGTGGCAAGGCATGGATAGCATGAGACAGAAAAAGTTATAATGGAGGGGAATATCGGGAACACCGCAGATGGTGCAAAGGTCATTATAGTGAAGGGTGAATCTTTGGAGGTACAGTAGAGTGTCATTTATCCGAAAGCCGGTCAACCAAAAGCATTCCAGTCGGCAAATTTAAATTTCTGCTAGTGGTATGGTGCTGCAACCTTTGGCTATGTCTTGGGCTACTCCAATATTTTTTTTGGTTTATGTGTGTTTTAGCTGGCAGCACTGGCACTTTAGTGTGGTGTTTTTCTGGGGACTGTGTCCTGGTGAATCGAACATTTTTGATACTAGATTAACTTCTAAAGTATAATTTTTTTGTTTTTATATTTTTCAATATATTTATTTTGTTTGTAAAAAATAAAGAAATAATTTTTAATGATATAATAGCCACGATTATTATTCTAAAAAATGTTAGGCTTAACATTGACGAAAATTCAACGCGAAGCAACATGCAATGGAGAAAAATCTCAACATGGGATAGGTTAATATATTTTTTCATACATAATCAGTTATCCGAACAACCCCAGTCCGCAATTGATTCGGATAAACGACGCTCTACTGTAGTTCTACTGTAGTTGAAAAAATGGCCATGACCAGTGAAAAATTGAGTGGTAGAAAAGTATGGTATAGGCCAGGTGTTATTGAAGAAATCCTTGATAGAGGGGAAGAAGCTGTGGACAGTAGAGTTGTGTTTTTGGTCCCATTCAAACTGCCATTGTTGCAAGAGATTTTCCCACAAGACCTGCTTGATATAAGTCAGGTATTTTATTGTAGGTCTCCTCCACCTCCAGATCAGTGGCAGCAGACTTTGCCAGTGGTTCCAATATGTGCCTTTACCCAGGTGATAGAGTAATTGTTGTCAGAGTTGAAAATAATATGGTGGAAGTCGTTGGCAACAGGATGGAGGAAGTGATTGTTTATAACATTAATGGCAGATTGGTATTCTGCATGCAATTCACTGGTTAAATTCAAATTACAAGAAGTAACACTTCTCTATTTACACTGATAACCATTCAGCTCTGCTTGGAAAGCACTGTAGTGAGAGTGCAGACTTAGATGCATAGAGAATATTTCCTTGTTGCTTTGGTAAACACAAAGCTGCACCCAGTGCCTGCAGCAAACTTTGATCCGTCAGTAAATACATTGAAATAGGTGTTTGAGGCTGGAGTGGTAGAGAGGAGCTTGCTATGAGTAGGGTCTACAGAATTGTGGAATAGTGTAGGAGTTGCAATTGAGTTGGCATCAATGCTGATGGAGCCAATATTAAGGCTAATGCCCTGCATCAGTTTCATCTTGTTGGAGACCATATTAATGACAAGGTTGATGGGTGGCTTTTTAGAGATGATCTGAAGGCTGCTAGTGGGGCAGGTATTGTAGTCCTTGGTGATGAGAAGCAGAGCTCTGCACTGAGCAGACAGCAGTCTACGAATGTGATGAGATTTGTTAGCCACATGGGCCCAAGCACTGCAGGTGTAAGTACAAACAGGATAAAAATTTGATCATAGATTGTGCTCATGGCCTGAGCATCTAGACCCATGTATGTTTGGCCTCTATAGAAATTATGAAAAATTTTTCTAGTGTAGTCAGTGATGTAATTAATATGCTGCGTCCGTTGTATCACTACAGGTTACATGTGGAATAAAAGAAACAATTAAACTTACAGAGCAATGAAACAATATGACTTGCCAAAAATCAGTATTTGGTGAAGCCACCACACACTGGAATAAGAGCTTCTATACATTGTGACATCTAATCAAACGGGTTTTGAGTGTCTACCTGACGAATAGCATTCCAGATTCCTTCTGTTTAGACCCAAAGTTCATCTGTGTTGACTGTGGGAAGAGCATCAGCAAATTTCTGACCCACAAAATCCCAGACATGTTCAATAGGTGACATGTCTAGTGAATGGGAAGCCAAGGAAGAAGCAATATCTGTTGTGCTGAAAAAAGTCTAGAACATACCTAGTAACATGTGGACAGGCATTGTCTGTTGAAATACAGCTACAGGAATGTGTTGAAGGAAGGGTATGACTTCAGACGTCACAACTTCCCTAATGTAGCTGTAGCGAGTTCCTCCAATTTTGAGTGGCCAAGATTGCCCATAATATGAAATAGTGCCCAGATCATCACACTTTGTGATTGCCCAATATGATGATGGATCGTTCACCTCTATAGCATCTAGCATGTAATCAGCCATCATTGTACTCTAAATTGAAGCAGGATTCATTGGAAAAGATGATTAGTTGTCAGTTGACATGCCAGTGGCTGTGTGGATGAGCTCATTGTAGCCATAGGTGTCAATGGTTTTGTGCCAGGGAAATCCTGTGCAAAGGATCCATGCATCAATTCATGGCACAACAGACATCAGCGAACTGAGGATGCAGACAATGGCACACCTGTAGCAGTGCCAACTGTCGAGATGAAGCTGTATGATCTGCAATTGTTTTGTGGATGAGATGTCTGTTGTCCCTTGCTAACATAACATTTTTGTCATTCACTGCCAGATTTGTGACTTGTCTGGTACTCTTCAATCCACTGCTTGCATGCACAAATCCTGAGGGTGCCGATACTGATCAATGTCAAATGCCTCTTTTGTATACCTCAAAGGACACGACAGGATTGTTGTAAATTTTAAATGCTTCTCACCATAGCTGTAGAAATTTAAATATGTTTAACTTAATAGATTGTCCATCATTTGTTTTCTAACTAATTCATTTTAAGACCAGGTGTCCATGGAAATTTCCAAAATTTACAACTTTTTGGTCACTCATTGAACTGGAAAAATTTCTGTCTTTATTACATCTAATATTATGAATAAATCAGTCCCCACTGTACTCGGCTAGAGATTGGTTCAGTTAAGCTTTTGTTTAAGTAAAATTCCGGCTCTTTCAGCAAGGTTTTATTTATGTCCCTAATTCCCTAATCTCTTAATTATTTAAGTATTTCTTAAGTAGAAATAAGTTGAAACTGGTTACTTTGTACTTGGATATTTGTAGTCTTGGAAAAGAAGTGCAAAGACAAATTTTTATGACAATGGATACATAAATTGTAAATTTAAGGAAAATTCTAAAGGTTTATTTGTACCTTGTGCATCTCATTTATTACATTTAGTTGTAAATGATGCTGCCAAAGTAATGGTTAATTTTTTAACATTGTACAAGAATTATACACATTTTCTCTGCATCCCTCTATAGATGGGACATACTAAATCGTAATATCACTAGTTTAACAATACAAGATGGGGGAGCAAAATAAAAGCAGAATAAATATATCAAATATTTTATTAGAATAGGTTAGGTTAGAACATGGGTCCCCACTGTGCAGCCATGACAGTGCATGTAGGTAAAGTTTGACCCAAATATTTTAATGGATTTTTTAAAACTGTCAACTATACAGAATTATCATGAAAACATACCTCTAAACTCCTGTTGGTTGGGTTACGTTATAAATCTACTCGTGATTCACATAATGGGGTGAGGGCAGCCAAATATCTAGTAGGCAGGCAGCTAACAGCCCAGAACTAGTCTTGGATAGAATCATTGGAAGCGTTATAAAATATTTTGGTGTGTAGCATCCACCAGCTAAACTGCATGAGGTTGGTGCTCTGTTGGTGCGCTTGCGCTTTACATCAGATATTTTCATTGTGGAAGCTGTCCTGTATTCGACAATACAGTGCTTCCATTCTGCCACTGATATTTGAATATACAATAGCAATCTTATCGTTTTTTTTCCACACATAGTATAGAAATTTGTAATAAGGTATTGCTTATCATTGGTCAAAGCAGAAACCCATGGGCATTTAAAAGCATTTGAGTTCTGTCTATATTGTACAAGAGTAACAAAATTGCTTGGAAGACTCAGACTTTGTTATACTAACTGTTCTTCCCAGAGCTCAAGCTGTTCATGAAACAAAAAAAATATTCTCTGATGGACAATTGTATTACTTACCAGCAAATCACTCATTCAGCCAATGGATCAGGAGTAATCCAGAATTTTAAAATCTAGTACAGAAAACTAATATTGACAGAAAATCTATGTTGATTAGAAATGAAAGTCATATAAAAACCAAGTTTATTGGATGCTTTAAATATGTGTTCTGAAGCTTGGGTATCAGTAGAATTTCTTACAGTTAAGCATGCAAAATTTTTTGTTGATGAAAGAAATGAAGAGGTACAGATGAAGACAGTAAGATTGAGGACATTTTAAAAGAATTTGTAGATGCTGATATTTTATCACCTACAACTGAATTATGTGATCAAACAAATGTTGGTGAGAATTTACAGATTTGTGATGATGACAGTGATAGGAAACTTTTTGACCAGTGGGCAAGCTGAGACTTGATGCAAATGAAGGTACTGAAATGAACATAGTCCAGGTAATAGAGGACTTACATGATTTCAGATTGTTCTTCAAATGGAACAATGTTCCAAAATTTATTCTAAAAAATATGGCATGCCCATTATATTGGATTAAAACCAAAACAAAACAAGGGACACAAAGATTACTGATTTTGTGTGTTTAAAAGTTTGCTACATTTTTGTTCATTTAATAAAATATTTAGCATTTATTTTTGAAAAAAATCCGTAATTTTATGTTTCTAGTTTAGAAAGAAACAAGTTTTATTTAGGTTATAGCTGCTTAAAACAATTAAAAATAATGAGTAAGGAAAATATTGTTTTTACAAGTTTAATGAAAATCTGGCTTATATATAGCTATAGTAATGGACAAGTTGATATTACAGGTACTAAATACAGTAGATCCCTTATATTTGATGTAACAGATCCACTGAAATGAAGTAAAACTACATTAATTTGGCATCTGGTCCTGGAGATGCATGAACTTTAGATATTTTCTCAAGGTCTGTTATCAAGATCCATTCTAACATGAATCTACTGTATAGTAATGGACATCTTGATGTAATAATTAGTAGTAATGTAAAACAGACTTTCATTATAATGGACCAATATCTTCAGTCCCTTGGTGGTTTGTTCTATCAAGCTTTTATTGTATTTCAATTAAATTTATTGATAGCAACTGACACTACTTAATAAACTGATGATATTTTAATTGCTATCACTTGACATATAAATTGAAAATATTTGCTTCTATTATAATTATATAATAGACTAAATTTTGTATTATCATATATTTCTGCAGATAAGATGACCTTCAGATAAGACAAGATATAAATTTTCGTCAAAGTTTTATAGTTTTTGCATATATCTGTCCTATTAGATGACCCCCAAACTATCAATGGCCTATAAATTTAGTTTAGATCAGCAATCATAATCTGGATAATAATACAGTATAGCGTATACGGAATTATGTCCTATTCGTAATTTTTCGAATGAACAAATTTTATTTTCTTGCATCTGGCAGCACTGCCTTGCTATTGTTGCAAACATTCGCACTGATTTGGGCATTTGGGCAATGACCTTGACTATTCACAGAAAACGTTGTATGGGCTATTCTATTTTGTGGACATACACTACTCTCTACTAGTAAATAATTACGGTTTTTCCATTTTTTTATAATGATTTTAATTTATATAAATTTCAATCTAATTTTTTTTTTGTATCTGTCCTATAAGATGACCCCAGATTTTAGGGGCCTTTTTTAATGATTCAACTATCGTTTTATCTGCAGAAATATACAGTATTTATATGAAATCACATTAAGATATGTTTTATTTTTGACAGAAAAATAAAAAAACAGAGAATTTTCAAAGGTAATTTTTGAATGCTATTATAAATTTATATAAGATTATATACAATTACTTAAATATTTTTACTTATTAAAAAAATATGATATTGAAATATAGCTTTTCTTAAAATTGCTCAACTTTTTCTTTTTTTTGTTTGGTGAGAGCCTTGAATATGATGATTCATGATTGGTTTACTTTCACTTGTTTTTCAGATCACAAAATACTGATATTGGAACAAATCTTCTTTTGTAAGTTTTTCAAATAAATTTATATTAATTTTTATTATATTTAAAGTGCCACTATTTTTTAAATATTATGAATTTGAAAATAGAATTATTACTTCTATTGAATGATTAACAATGTATAAAGCTAAAAATAGTTTCCAATACAAAATGAAAGACAAATAATAATAACAGATTGAGAAAAATCATTATATATTCCTGCTAAAATCTTTTAGATATAACATATAGGCTACAGTTTTCTCTCAATTATAAAATGAAAATTTTTAAAAGAATTTTTTGTAATTACATCTAAATGTCATAAAAACTTGTGATTAAACTTATCTATTTCTGTATTATTATTTAATTATGAGACTAACAACACGTAATTAAATTTTTTATTAGTGTGTTAAATTTTTTCCTGTTATAAAAGTTGTATAAGTTGCATTTTAATCTTTTCTATGAGAATTTGCACATTCTCTTAGGAAAAGATGATGTTTAATGAGTGTGTGTGGGCATCTAATTTGTTTAATTTCTTTATTTTCTGTTCTGAGATATTAAACAATATCTCAGAATGGGTAAAGTTTAAGAAATGAAATGTGGCACTGTAGCTTGCATATAAAGGGATATTAATACTATTAAATTTTGGTTCTTAATTAAAGGTTGACAGAGTGAAGACATAAAAGTGGTCATGTGTCATATCTCTTAATCATCATTATTAGTGTTCAAAATTTAAAAAAATAAAATAAAACTCGTATCTACCCTCAAAGTAAGCTTTTTTGCCATTTATAATAGTACAGTAAAACCCGTTAAGATGTTTTCACTTAAGATGTTAGAATTAGTGTTGTAACGAATAGTATATTCGGCCTCAGGCCGAATACCGAATATTCGGCCAGGAGCGTGGCCAAATAGCCGAATATTCGGCCAAACTATTCGGCTTGATTAACGCACGTACGAAAATTGGCGCGCAAACCGCATTATGGCAAGGATCCTGCTCTCTATTGGCCCGCTGTTACTACGCTTCGCCAATCGCGTTAATTCTTGGCAGTTGTAGCGGACAGACAAGAGTGTCATGGAAGTATGTGATAAATGATGATATCAAATGTGGATAACAATGAAATGACCTACACGTGTAAATAACGGAAAAAGAACAGAGAAGGACCGCGAAGTGAAAATGTGAAAATAAATATGAAATTGAGTTGATAACATAATCGAACAAGTCGAGGCAGCTTATTGGCACGAAATTCGCGGCCGTCAATGCCAAACAATTGTTGTCATAGACTTCGGAAAGCTAAATGCTTGTAATGAAAGTCACTTAGCGTGCACGGGCGAAAGCCTGGGGCCGTTCGGGCTATCAAGCTGTCTCGAATCTGTGAAATCATAACTGTGACTTATATCGACGTCCTATCTGTCTCTTTTCTCCGTTATCACCAGGCTGAGTCACGTAATTGTAAAATGGGAACTCTACGACGGAAAAGTGACGAATCGAAAGTATCGTGAGCGCGTATTATGATGTATGCACAGGCATACATGGATTAGAGCGATAGAGGAAAGAGAAAGGGAAGAGCAAAGACGAGCGCTTAAAAAGAAGGATAGGCAGGGTCAGACCCTCAGATGTGCGAGGATTCTCCAACGATAGACGTGTACGTGTGCTGATCTTTGTAATTATAAATTGTGAATACATGTGACTAATATTATTTTCTTTTTTATTTTGTGCATGTTACAAGTTATAAATAAATATAAACAAACAACACTAACTCGATAACATTAAATCTAAGTACCAAAATGATTAATTTACTGTGTTTTTGTTATTTATTACTTCTGTTTTTAGGTATTCAGTATTCGGCCGAATAGTGATTAAATATTCGGTATTCGGCCGAATAGTGAAAAATAGGCCGAATACCGAATAGTAACCGAATATTCGTTACATCACTAGTTAGAATGTATATGGGGACATGATTTAGTTCAACCACTTTGACGCTCAATAAACTCCTGTGTTAAACCATCTGACTCCGATTCTGACCACTCTGACCACAGAAATTATTAGGCTTCAAACAGGGTGAACAAAATCATGCCCCTCCCCCACACACAGTCTAACATCCACACATATAGAAAAAAACCTCAAATCTTTTGCATATCTCGAAATTTCAAGATGTCCTGAGTCCAAAAATGTAAAAATTTGGGAGGGGTCATTTTTCGACCGAACGCTACACTTTCCTCCTGTTATATATAACAGCCGGAAAAGTAAAAATTATCGAATACATATTTATATATTACTTAGAGCGTAGGAAGTCTTTTAGCTTTGGAATAAAAAGTTTCTATCTTTATTAGAACTTTATTTATTGAATCTTTTATTCTGGGGTCACGTGATGACATCAGAATTTCTAGGTCTCTTTCAGTAACAAGTCCGCCCCTGGTCGGAGTCGGATGGTAAGGAAGAGTCGGAATCGGTAGATTTTTACATGCCTCCACAGCCCTGGTCAAAAGCAAAATCTGCACATGATACTAGTATATAAAATATTTAATATTTTACAAATGTTATGTAATAATTTTAGAAATTTGGATAACAACTTGATTTGTTTTGTTTTAAAATTTTAATTCTATATAATTTTTTATTAGATATTTAAAAGAGATAAATGATATTTTTGGTCCACTAAATACTGATGATTTTCTCAACTTTTGTGAATTTGATGATGATGATGTAATGTATCTTATTGAATATGGAGGATTGAATAAATTTCTTCAAGATAATAGAGATCATATAAATTTGAGAGGGAAAATAGACCAGGAAACATATAATTTTATTCCTGTTTCATCAAAGTGTACTGTTAGGTCCTTATATAATCAAAATTTTTATGAAGTTAAAGAAGAAAAAGAAACATCTAATAATGAAGATTCAGTTTCTGAAAAAACATCTAATAATGAAGATTCAGTTTCTGAAAATAAAGTAAGTCTAATGAATAATATATGCTTTGTTTTTCTTTTGGTCAATATTAATTTTATAACTTATTGATGTGGGGGTAGTTTGAAAAGTTCTTGGCCTGACACAAATGGTACTGGTGGTATCAAATGGTGTGTGAAGTATCAAACAGGGTATATAGAACAAAAAACAACAGAGATGTCAGTGTTTGAATAATAGGAAGTAAACAAGCCAACACCTGCAACAGAAGATCCATACATGTTATAATAATACAGATGAGGCAGCAGCAACAAACTCACTGTGATGTCAACTGTGAGATATAAAAGTATCTTGTCAAATGAAATTCAGACAAAGCATGCATTCTCCCATTTTCTATTTTGCTTATACATTTCATTGAAAAGAAGAAACATTAGAATGGGACTTCTATTCCATGAAATGTGTAACTAATACAGAAAACAAGAGAACATGTGCACAGCTGATATCACAGTATGCTTCAGCTATGGTGCTGCTGCCTCATCTGTGAACTGTATGAGTCTTCTGCTGTGGGTGTTGGCTTGCTCACTTCACATTGTTCAAACACTGATCTCTCTGTTGTTTATTGTTCTGTACATACTATTCCAACTTCTTATGCTTATTCTGCAAACCATGCAGAATCTCTTGACATTGTGAATTCCTAATGTTTATATTGGAAATTTTCAATATATAGTTACATATGTTCTACCCCTATTCTCATGTAATGTGAGTGCATGTCACCCAGTCTTTATCCTGTGAAAGTTCCAATAGACTCCTCATTTTCTGAGCTGCTGAGATTACCTCTAGTTGGTTAAGTTACTTTTTGACTATACAAGTTGTTATAACCACTGATGAAAAACATTGTGTGTAAATGTTTAGTTGTGGATGATAAATTCTGAAAAAAATAAGTACTTTTCATTATCACCACTTTCAGCTTTGATAGGAATGGCTGATGTTTCCACATGGTAGTTCATTCTGGATTAATATAGTCTAAATAATAATTTAAAATATCCAGTACTTTGAGACAGGAGTCTGAGAGACTTATAGAATTTTACAATAGAAGGTCCAGAGTTAGGGACTTGGTCTACCAATTTCAAAGCTCTGGTTTGAATCTGAGAAATTATTATCCATCAATAAATAATCAGAACAATTTTAACACAACTTATTTGTGTTCCATATTTTTGCAGAATGCCAGTCAAAACTAGTTGTCAATTAATTTTAATTTTAGATTTTAATCGTTTGTTAGATCTGATTAATGAATGATTACATTCTTCCCAATACAATAAAATAATAACATTGAAATTTGACTGACTTAAAATCAGGAAGAGCATTTTCATTTATAAGACAATGAAACAATTAACAACTTATTGACATTTTTACTGTAGTCACTACTATTGTTAACTGCGGCCTGGTCTAAGTTCAGTGGTGACTACTGTAGTAGTTATTGTGGGCTACACTGACCATCCATCCTGACCTTAAAAATAATGCTTTCCTCTCAAATTTCACTCATAATTTTCAGGGAGTTTCTTAAATTTAATGTTTATTTTCATGTTTTTGAATCAAATAACAATAAAATACACATTAAAAAAAAATGCATTTTTATTCTAAAACTGTAAAACTATCAGCACTAACATCAGAAACTATGATTTTATGTTTAATTTCTTCATTTTGTCTTCTTTCTAAGGATGTAAAATACTCGTGGAATTCCAAAAGTGCTTTTTTTTTGTGTTTTCTCTAGAGAGTGGTGTATAACCTCACTTAAACCAGCATGCCAGCTTTTATCATATGGAAATGTCTGATTTCCTGGTCTCCCCAAGTAGACTGGCAAGCTGGTGATTATGAAAATATGGTATGAATTGTTTGTGAATGTCATTTTATCACTCAAAACCAGGAATTGACTTACAAATTGTTAGAAGTGCTTAAAGTTCATTTAATAGAATTCAAACCAGGTTTTTGTCATCTATATTTGTAATCTTTAAAATCATACATACAAAAAGATTGCTATTACTCCTGTGCTTCTTAATGCTGTAAGTATTGCTTAAAACTGGTGAAAAACAATCTGTACATATTAAAAGCTGAAAAGCTGCCATGAATAAATTTTGAGCAAGCAGTCTTGTAACTAAACATTGTAATTTTTCTCTTTAAAATATTCAGAATCCATTCATTTCATTTGAATAAATTCAAGGTGTTTCATAATGTTAGTTTTTGTAACTCTGAAAAAGTCACTGCCAAAGAAGTACTGAATTCATGTCCCATTCAGTGCTGGTTTTTTTTTAACACTTACCAATGATGCATATAGTGAACATTTTTGACTCGCCATATATTCATACAATAATCCAATTCTTCCCACATGTTTTGCAACATTGGCCCATTGATATCACATGGTGATCGTGAGACAGATTTTATCTTTTATATAGCCCCACAAAAAGAAGTCAAGTGATGTGGGGTTTGGTGATCTTGGGAACCACAATATTGTGTGTAGGTTATTTTGCATGAACAAACTGTTTGAGTTCATGTGAATTAGGTATTTCTCTTGTGATGCCTCCCAAAACTCTAAAGATAATGAAAAGTTTATTTCAAAATAATGTATAAAATACAAGTTGTCTTTATAAAACATTCAGAATAATTTTTCTATGCATTTTCAGATATGGAAGGAAAAGTATTTTAAAGTGACAAAAATTCATGAGGTAAGTAACATATAGATAAAATGTTATCTTTGTCACACTTTTTGATTGAAACCAGACTTCTTTAGTGTTTTTGAAGGTTCTTAGCTCGTCTTTTAGTTTTGTTTGAATGTAATTCCAAAAGGTCATATAATTAGTAAGCTGTGATTTATATGATACAGTATCTTTACTATAAAATCCTTTTTGTCTAGATCAGTAATGGTAAAGCAGTGATCTATGGGTCATGCATAATCTGCACAACAATTTCAAAGCACCCATATTAAATGTTCAGAAAAGTAATAGGTTTTTGTAAACTATAAAAAATATTTGACAGATTTCAAAACTTTGCATATTTAGTGTGAAAGCAGGATCATAAAGCTGTTGTAAAATGTCTTGAAGATTACTAATCATGAACCTTAAATAGAAAACTTGTTATGAAATATTATTATTTTTAATTAACTCAAATTCAATTTTGACTCACCATCAAAAAAAGGTTTTCCGTCACTGGCTTAATCTAAAAGTCATGGACATTTTAAGCTTTAAATCTAATTAGATTTTTATATGATATAATTGTAACTATTTTGAGATTAGTCCACATTATTTTATATATGTTAAAAATTATTCATTATTTTAAACTCGTCGGTATATTTCAGTATCAAAAACTTGTGTTTTTATGTCACTTGCAATTGTGAGACATAAATGATTTGAAAGAAGGTAATGCTCCATATTTCCTGTTCCCATCATGAAATGGATAAGAAATGATGCCTCTGAAGAAATAAATTTTGTTTGAAACTTTGTGGAGCACATTAGATTTCTTTATCATGGTATCAAATCTTCCAGGATGTGATCGTCATCACTTGTATATCAAACTTTTTGGGAAATTTTCATGACTCGGTGACAATTTGAATATGCATTGTGTCTGCCAGCACCTTGATTAGAATCCTCACCTAATGAACACTGTGATTAAAAAAAAAATACCATGTTTTATCTTTAGAACAATCTTGTCTATCAGCTATCTACTCACCAAGATGCAAGTTTAACATTGTCTAAGTTTTTTCATAACTGTTCATTCTTGAAACTAAGACTGTCAATAAGGAATATTATATTGAAATTCTTAGCCAACTGAGTGAAGCTGTACTACAAAAGTGGCACAATTTGTTGAGGGAACAGAACTTGATCCCTGAATGGCCTTATGTATTGGTCATTTTTGATCAAGAAAGGAATAATAGTGCTTTCCAAACTCCTTACAGACTATTTCATTTTAGGGAACAAATAAAACTATGTGGGGCAATATCAAGGGAGTAATGTTTCAATTTCTCTAACATGGACAGATGAGGGGTGTTCAAGGAGCACAGGAAATATATGGACTGGTATCAATGCCTAAGAATGTGAAGAGAGGGAATCATCCAATCCTACTGGCACCTCTTGGAAATTTTCTGACTTCCTGATGGTCTCATTCATTGCTGGGCTCCAAATATCACCAGAGATGGAAGATGCAGCACCAAACTCTTAAAGATACAACTGAAAAATGTTTTTCCTTTCTTTGACTTCTAGAACTGTTTTTTAAAGTAATTGCATATGTGAGATAGCAGAAATTCCTATATCAGACCTAGTCTTTAATATTAACCTTTAGCGAGTTACGCAACAATTGTTGTTCTTAGTTAACTGAGAAAGTCTCCCGTTACATTTTCTCGAAAGCAACATGACACTTTCTCGTGAACTATTAACCTCTGCACGGCCGAAAAGAATTAGTCGCCGTTTTAGTCCTCGGAGAGGAAAGGAGTCGGTCATCGTCCATCCTTCCGACTCAAAAAACTCACACCATTTACTGCTGAGATAATCTCTCAGTGCCCATCGGATATCAGATTATCATCGATCAGTGCATATCTTTTTGGATACTGTGTGCCATCATTGTGCTGTGGATATTATCATCATCGGAATCAGTCTCAACGTCCATCGGACAATTAACCACTACCAATCAACCAAATGATTGAATACGAGAACAGCCATATTATCACCCAGGTATTTATAGGTATTATCAGGTATTATCACACAGGTCGCGCTCGTTCTGTAAACTCTCTCTCCGCGGCATAACCTTAGAACTCTGTAGCATATCCAATACACATTATTTTTTTTTATTAAATCTTTGTTACATTTGAATTGTAGTGCGAGTCACTTCCTTATGTTGTTTCTTGATCTGACATTACGAATCTGTCTGACCATGTACGGGACCGCTCGCGCGACGGTGTGACGTAATCGCCGTCTCGGTTTCCATGTTCCGGTGGTGTCAATCCTGACAGGGACCTGAAAGGTCACACATATGTCAGAATTAAGAATTAGCAGAGAGATAATATCAATAGTTAAAAATTAAATATAGAATTTCTATATAAAAAACTTATCCTTTTTTGAAAGGTAAAATTAAATTCTATTAATTAGGTTTGTAGACTTTTTGTGGTTTTGTAGGTTTTTGTGGCTTTTTTTCTTCAGAAATCAACTGTTCCTTGTGTGATGGGTTAATGTATTGTATTTTTTATTAAAGGAAATGCATTTTGGGTCTTAATGACCCCTCTTCAGTCCTTAGAATGGTTGATTGTTGGTTACAATTGACTTGGTAATCAGTTTACAGTGCTAGGGTTGCTGCAGAGTTTGCATCATCTTTGAGTATGCGGTTGCATTTTAAAAAAAATCAAACCTACAATAGAATTTAAGTCTCACAAATAATATCTTAAGACATAGTTGATATTTTTATCAAAATATGTACAGTACAAATAGTGAATTATTTCAATAAAATGAATTAAAATGGAACAATAATTTTATCGTTGGATTACAGTAGAGCGTCGATTATCCGAATCAATTGGGGACTGGGGTTGTTCGGAAGATCGATGTTTTGGATAACCGATTATGTATAAAAAAATATATTAGTTTATCCCGTCTTGACATTTTTCTCCGTTGCATGTCGCTTTGCGTTGAATTTTCGTCGATGTTAAGCCTAACAAAGACTTGTATCGTTAAAAAATTTTTTTTTATTTTGTACAAACAAAATAAATATATTGAAAAATATAAAAACAATAAAAAATTATACTTCAGAAGTTAATTTAGTATCAAAAACGTAAAATATTTGAGTGGCNTGTTGGCATCTAATTTGTTTAATTTCTTTATTTTCTGTTCTGAGATATTAAACAATATCTCAGAATGGGTAAAGTTTAAGAAATGAAATGTGGCACTGTAGCTTGCATATAAAGGGATATTAATACTATTAAATTTTGGTTCTTAATTAAAGGTTGACAGAGTGAAGACATAAAAGTGGTCATGTGTCATATCTCTTAATCATCATTATTAGTGTTCAAAATTTAAAAAAATAAAATAAAACTCGTATCTACCCTCAAAGTAAGCTTTTTTGCCATTTATAATAGTACAGTAAAACCCGTTAAGATGTTTTCACTTAAGATGTTAGAATTAGTGTTGTAACGAATAGTATATTCGGCCTCAGGCCGAATACCGAATATTCGGCCAGGAGCGTGGCCAAATAGCCGAATATTCGGCCAAACTATTCGGCTTGATTAACGCACGTACGAAAATTGGCGCGCAAACCGCATTATGGCAAGGATCCTGCTCTCTATTGGCCCGCTGTTACTACGCTTCGCCAATCGCGTTAATTCTTGGCAGTTGTAGCGGACAGACAAGAGTGTCATGGAAGTATGTGATAAAAATGATAATATCAAATGTGGATAACAATGAAATGATCTACACGTGTAAATAACGGAAAAAGAACAGAGAAGGACCGCAAAGTGAAAATATGAAAATAAATATGAAATTGAGTTGATAACATAATCGAACAAGTCGAGGCAACTTATTGGCACGAAATTCGCGCCCGTCAATGCCAAACAATTGTTGTCATAGACTTCTAAAGCTAAATGCTTGTAATGAAAGTCACTTAGCGTGCACGGGCGAAAGCCTGGGGCCGTTCGGACTATCGAGCTGTCTCGAATATGTGAAATCATAACTGTGACTTATACCGACGTCCTATCTGTCTCTTTTCTCCGTTATCTTCAGGCTGAGTCACGTAATTGTAAAATGGGAACTCTACGACGGAAAAGTGACGAATCGAAAGTATTGTGAGCGTGTATTATGATGTATGCACAGGCATACGTGGATTAGAGCGATAGAGGTAAGAGAAAGGGAAGAGCAAAGACGAGCGCTTAAAAAGAAGGATAGGCAGGTTCAGAGCCTCAGATGTGCGACGATTCTCGAACGAATAGGTGTGTACGTGTGCTGATCTTTGTAATTATAAATTGTGAATACATGTGACTAATATCATTTTCTTTTATTTTGTGCATGTTACAAGTTATAAATAAATATAAACAAACAACACTAACTCGATAACATTAAATCTAAGTACCAAAATGATTAATTTACTGTGTTTTTGTTATTTATTACTCCTGTTTTTAGGTATTCGGTATTCGGCCGAATAGTGA